TGGTTATCTCAACTCTTCTCTCATTAGGGGTTGGAACTGGATGATCTTTAAGGTCCCTTCCAACCCAAACCATCCTGTGCTTCTACGACTGATGACTCTTGTACCCCATCATTCCTTCCAGAATGCCTTTTCCTGAGTCTCACAGGAAGTTTTCTCTCCCAAACTCCAAGGTTTTCTGTCCATGACTGACTCAGTTCAGATGATTTCCATCATCCATTCCATGAGTGTGGTAAAGGCCTGAGAGCTCTTGGAGCTCACTCGTGCTCTTGCTCCTAACTCTTGTTCTCTGGGATCCTCTGAACCCTTCAAAAGGTTTCTGCAGCAGAGAATACTTCACTGAGGACACGTCAGCAGGACTGGGGTGCTTGCAGTGTCCATCCTCTTAGCCTGTGTTCTGCCTGTAGAGCCATTCTTTTTTCCTCTGCAAGTGCTCCTCAGAAATTCCAAGGGAAATAAAAAGTTTAAGAGACTGTAATTTGCTTTACCAAACTGATATCTATAAAAAAAATTATGTGATGTATGTATCCTTTCTGCAAATGCTGATTGAAGAATGATGGTAATGTATTTCATTTTGGTTACTGTGTTTTCTAATGCTTTAGATAAATTTGTTTAATTTTAAGACTAGCTGGAAGTATTATAGGGGTTACCTCTACATTACATAGTTTAAAAGTGTGTTGTGTCTAATGCCTTTGAATTTTTTAGTAAAAAAAGTGTGATGACCAATTGTTGTCATAACCATAGTTTAATACATCAGATTTTTGGTACCAAAGCCAAGGCTTTAATTCTACATTTGGTCCTTTTCCCTTTTGATAGCTGGTTCACAGTCCCAGGGCAGGATAAATTGCTGCTGCCAGAATTCTTTAATTTCCTTTGGAAAGAGAGGAAACCTGAATCATTAGCCTAATAAACTAATGTTTAGTTGTCTAAATTTAGGTGAGAAGAACTTGAAACAGAATTAGCACAACTATACAGAGTTATTCCCACAGGAGACATTTTGGAGTACTTCCTTTTTATTATTATTATTTTTTTAATAAGTTATTTATGTACTTCTATGAATCTTGATACTTCTTAAAAGACTTGAAAGTTCATGAAAAGATTTTATCTGCATTGAAATTCATCTTTATATGGTGCTGTTTGCTCAGAAAGCTTTATGAAGGACAGCTAATACAGGCTATTAACAGGATTTTGTTGTGTTTAATGGTGGAAAAGGCAAAAAGGAAGCCAGAGTTAGGAAGGTACTTTGAAGAATGAAGTAGGTATTTTGTCTCTTAAGGACAGAAATACTGAAATAGAATGGGATGTACATCCAGGCTCTCCCATTTGCACCATCAATTGCTGTTGGCACTGAGCTCTTGCAGTACCTGATGGAGCTGAGCCCAGTCACCAGAGTGGGGCTGGGAACACCAACCAGGCTGGTCCTGCTGAGTTTGCCAAGCAGAAAGTTCTACAGTTGTAAATTTTCCCAATTTGTGCACAAAACCACCTTGTGGATTCATTAATTGAGGACAGATTCTAATGACAAGCAGGGAACTTCAGGGTCAAACAGTTCACTTTCTTTAAAAATTAATTTACAGTAGGTTTGGTTTATTTTTTCTCCTATTAATAATATAACTACTAGCAACTAATTTCTAACATAGCTAATAATCTTTCTGGAAGAGACATTGAGGGGAGTGATCTTCCTGAGGTTCTAGTGCTGCTTTTGGTCACCTTTGGCACTTCTTGGTTGTATCCCATGCACTGGCTTTCCCTAAAGGACGCAGTGATGGCTCTCTCTTAAGGAGCTGTTCAGCTTCTGAGCTAAATGGAATTTAGGAGGATTCCATGCTTTGCAGAACATAATCTTCTCACTAGCCATACTTTTGAAAGCTTTGGTCAAAAGCACACATTTTGTGATCTGGACAGTGCTGGCCTGCTTGTGGAATAAGCTAAAATATGTAACTGAACTGAAATGCTTGGATTGGAGTAAATAACTGCTGAGCATCCCAGCATAAACATACATCTTGTGACACAGACCCTGCTCTGGTATTGGGGATTTTTACATCCTTGTAATTTCCATTTAGTTGTCCTGCCTTATGCTGTGAGAAAATGGAATTATTTTTAGTTCAGCTCATTTACAGTGTAACCAAAATCGCAGCCTTAGTGGTAGTTTGTGTCTTACCAGCAGCAGAGAAATTCAGCTCAGAGCCAGGGGTGAGGTTTTGAGGGAAGAAGTTCTTTGTTTGGAAACAAAGTCTTTCTTGTGGATGTCTTGGTTTGTTTGCTTGCTGTGTGGTTTGTGTCTGTTTCTTAATTGGAAAGCCCAAAACACATCAAAATCTGGTGTCTTTGCAAAGACCATTGCAAGGAAATTTGTTAATAACAAATATTAGGGAGCAATTCTTCCCTTTGAGGGTAGTGAATCCCTGGCACAGGTTGCTCAGAGAAGCTGTGGCTGCCCCTGGATCCCTGGAAGTGTCCAAGGCCAGGATGGACAGGGCTTGGAGCAACCTGGGGTAGTGGGAGGTGTCCCTGCCCATGGCAGGGTTTGGAACAAGAGGATCTTTAAGGTCCTTTCCAACCCAAACCAGTCTGGGATCCTGTGATTGCCAGGTGAAACCATCACATGTGGAGCTGCTTCCTTCTCAAATCCATGATTTTGTGTGTGGGGAGAAGGGCTTGGATCATCCTATGGTTTTTGTAGGTGTAGATTAAACCCACCAATATTGCAGAAAAAATAAGGCTCTCTGCAACTTCAGTGTGTTTGACAAATTCATCTTGGCCCCATACGTGTTGGTAACAGCATGCAGGTTCTGTGTGTGTGCTGGGTGGGTATGGAAACAATAAGGTGTGTTTGGAATTGGCCTGTGAATATTCCAAAAGCTCAGGAATATCAGAAGAGTCTGGTGACAGAAAGGGATGATAAAATTCCATGCTGAACTGCTCCCTGTGATTTCTGGTGGATGATCCAGAATGCTTAAAATGCAGAAATGAAAGGGGAGCAGCACATACCTAAATCTTCTGTCCTTACACTTAAAAATTGAAGATGTGTAAGTGAGATGGAAGGTAAAACTGTATTTCTTGAACAGAATGCAGGTAGCCACAAGCAGCTGGAAAATGCCTGCTTTTTCACATTTGGGATTTCCCTTTAAAAACTCCCATCACCATCTCCACCGTATCACCTTCAGACTAGATTAAGAACAATCTTTTCAAGTGTTCAGCATGGCTCGGGGGATCCTCAGCGACAGCAGCCAGCCGAGCTGAGGCTGTGGCTGTCCCCAGAGGGACCCGAGCCCGTCCCGGGCAGGGAGGAGCCGTGGCCCTGCGGTGCCGGGGTCCCGCAGCCGGCTCGGGGGGGCTCTGCCGGCCCTGTGGCGCTCGGCTCCGTGGCTGTGACCCCGCCGCGTTCTCTTCCTGCCGCCGCCTTTCCTTTCCTGTGGCAGTATGTGCAGCAGCCTGGCTCTTTGTTACCCCGTCTCTTCCCTGCCCAGGTGCTCCGAAGGTACGGGCTGGCCGTGGTTCAGGGGGAGGCAGCTCCGGCAGGAGCCGCTGCGGAATTCCGCGGAGTTTAGCGGTGCCAGAGGTGCAGCGCGGTTGGCTGCGAGCCTGGCATCCCTGCCTGGCATCCCTGCTGCCATCCCTGCCTGGCATCACTGCCTGGCATCACTGCTGCCATCCCTGACTGGCATCCCTGCCTGGCATCACTGCCTGGCATCACTGCTGCCATCCCTGCCTGCCATCCCTGCCTGGCATCACTGCTGCCATCCCTGCCTGCCATCCCTCCCTGGCATCACTGCTGCCATCCCTGCCTGCCATCCCTGCCTGCCATCCCTGCCTGGCATCACTGCCTGGCATCACTGCTGCCATCCCTGCCTGGCATCACTGCTGCCATCCCTGCCTGGCATCACTGCTGCCATCCCTGCCTGCCATCCCTGCTGCCATCCCTGCCTGGCATCCCTGCCAGGGCCCTGCCATGTGGAAAAGGTCAGGGGATGCTTCCTGAGCTCACCCTACCTGCCTCAGGAATAGCGATTGAAATTTCAATTCCTTTTTTATTTTATTTATTTTTTTGTTTGTTTGTTTCAAATGGTGTCTTGTCAGTTGAATGAATTCTGGAGTGGAGGTTATGCTGTGCATAGAGGGACAAGGAAACTACAGGCAAACTGAGAATCATTTCTGACTATTTTTAATTGCAGTTCTCTTAACATCTGCTTCCTTTCCACAGTTTGCTTATGGGTATGTTAAATCTAGGATCAAACTTCAGAAACTTGCTAGAAAGACATTCTGTGTGTGTAAAGTAGATATATTGTTTTGTTTATTTCTTAATGGAATTCTCTGTTTTGCATACAAAGCAATACTGTAGCCATGGGCAGCTTGTCTCTTTCTATTGCACAAAAATAATCTATGAATTGTTTGATTTATGGATGACATGGCTATGTTGAACACCGTGAAGGTATGGATCAGCTTTTTAGTTATTTCAAATTAGCATGTTGTATTGAAGTGTAAATCTGTGTCCTTCTGTCCGCTGCTCCCAGCAAAGGCAGGTTAGGGCTGGGGCTGTGACACTGCTCCATCAGAGTCTCATGTACATCTATGAAAAAACAGTGACATATCTGGTGGAATTTTATTTTGTTTATAAAAGCAGTGCTGTCTTTTTTTTATGGAGTAGTTACTTTTAAGCAAGTCGCATTGCTTTCAGAAATACTTCATTGTTTTGTCACCATTTCTGTATTCTTGTTTCATTTCATTGATTCATTTATTTGTTTTTTACAGCCTGAGTAGGCAGAGCACCACTTTGTGTGCAGTCCTAGCTAATGAGGCAGTCACTAAAAAGGTATAGCCTAAAACATTGAATTTCACTCATACCAAACTCAAACTGTTCTATATTAAACTCTTATGGAGTTAAATTATTAAAACCACTAAGAATTATTCTCTGGCAAATATTTGCCAAGGTGATTTAATGAAGGTGGTTTAGAATATTGTATTATTGAGTTTTGTTTTACAACTGCCAGTGTGTTTTGAGGACTGAGTTGAAGCCTTGATATTTGAACAGAAAACTCTGTTCCTGAGACTTTCCTTTTGTAGGAAAGTCTTTTATCAAAGACTTAATGTGGGATGTTGAGGAACCTTTCTTCTTAAATCTGGCAAAAGTGACCCAGAGGAAATGCCATCAGTTCCATGTTTGCCCCTCAAGTACTTTTGCTCCACTTCTCACTAAATCTTAAAAAATCTGAGCAGAAGAAATAAAAGCAGTGATGAAAGGAGGAAGCATGAGGACTGGAGAGAGGGAATTGCCTTGCAGAACTGTAATAGAATAATGTAGAAATAGTAAGTTGGGTGTTGTTCACTTTTGGGTGATACAAGACTGTGATCCAGTTAAAAGCTAATGTCCATGATTTATTAAAGTGATACATTTTTGTAATGGGTGATACACAAGATTTCCTCCTGAGATGACATTAAACAAGACTGCAGTGACATTGGGGAAGGGACTAGAAGTGTATAACTGAGAGAATATCCCACATTAATGCAGAGAAAATATGTATAAACTCTAATTTCAGGGACAGTCCAGTTATAGATTTATAGAATGAGTAATTTGTTTGGGATATATATATATATTTATGTGTGTGTAGATACATATGTGTACACACACACAATCATCCCAACACTTTCCCTGGTTTTCTCCCTTTAAATTTACACTATGTGGGAGTTCTGATGCTGTTCACAGTCAGAAACTAGATGGTGGCTTAGATAAGGCTGCTGGTATTGTCAGATGCTGGAGTTCCTGGTTTATAAATATCTTCAGGGAAAGCTTTTGACCACAGACACAGATCTTCCTCTGTACTCAAAAACATTTGGAAAGAAGAAGATATCCAAGATGATCTCACAAAATAATGAGTGAAGAAACAAAACAGGGTTGTTTTTTTCCCTAGGCTGACCTTGTGTTTGGGAAGTGTCTTGGGTTTTTTCCAGGTAGATTGTAAATGTTTTCCAGCTTCTCCATAAAGTTTATGGGAGTCCCTCCTGCTCTTGCAGGTGGCCCCTTGTGCTGACTTGCCTGTTAGTGTTTCTTTGGATGAAACAGTTGGAGAGATGCACACTGCAACATGTATCCCTTGGTAGTACCAGCATTCCTGGGGTTGTCAGCTGCTGGCAAAAGATTTGTTACCACCAGAAGAGGAGAAGGGATACCTAGAGTAAGGCAGCCAGGGTTGTGTAGGACTTGGAATATTTCCCCTCGGGTTCTATGGGTCTCAAAAGAGTTAAAGAACTACTTTGATCCAAATCTGCTCTGAGAAAAGGATGAGCTCATGCTTCATCTCAACTGAAAATTCCCTTCATCCTACCATCAAATTCTGTTGTGACATTTTTGGAGAGGATAGAGAATTCCTCACAGGAAGCAAAAAAGGATCCAAAAAGGTCAGTGTAGAGTCAAGGACCTAGGCTATTGTTTTTGCCTCCTAAAACTTCATGCTCTGATATTATTATCAAATGGCAGCAAGTTCCTTTCCATGTTCTTCTCTAAAAGCAGCCCACCCTTGCTGTCCCTGTCCTCAGCAGCTTGTATGAGCACTTGGTATATCCAGTATTTATGGGGATTAGTTTTACACCTGTGTAAGCTTAGTTGACTGTTAATGGGCTTCTAGATCAACATTAAACTTCCCTCTTCCAGACACTCCTGAGATCATTGCAGCAGGAGCAGAGCTCAGGCCTTGCAAACCTTCCTGAAAAAAGGAAAAAAGTTTCCTTACTCTTTCCCTGTAAATAATTACATGGAGAAGACTTGCATCAGCTTGTGGAACTGTAACCTTTTTTTGTTTTGTTTTGGTTCTGTTTTACTTTTCCAGCCTCAAGTGTCTACTCAGAGAAACTAGAAAGTTCTGGTGCAGTATCCAACTGACTTGATGCCATGCTGGACATGTCCTCATTATTCCATGTGTGTCCAGTTAAGCTGAAGGAGCTACCTTGTCTTTGCAGACCTGCAAGTGGTATTGGAAAGGGACATTTTGCCATCAAATGAACTCTGGGATAGTCTGTTTTCATCCTTTCCTAGAGCTGCCTGCTACCAAACTGATAGCTCCCATCACAGTCCTGAGAAATACCGGATTTATCAACTAAATGACTTGAGTTAAATGAAATTAGGGCTCATCCCTTTGCTATCAAATCCCATTACTTTCCCTAAGATGGCTTAAGAATTGCAGTGTGAGCAGGATCTACAAGGAAAGAAGTGTAGAGCTGGCAACACAGAGAAAGGAGAGAGGGCTTAAATGAATTACTGGTATCTCTTGGGCAGAAAAGAAGGCTGCTAATGAGTTGGACATTCTGAAGGAAACTTTAATTATCCTTCTCCAGGCACCATCCACGCACGCCAACAACTTCAACATCTGTCAGAGGATGTTTAATGCAGACAGATGTTTGTCTGCACTCAGTCAGCATCTGGGTCTTCTGTGCTTATGCTCACACTGACACTTGCTGTGTTGGGAAGTTAAGCATTGCATTTCCCTGATCCTGGAAAGGGGAAAATTCCCTGTAAGACAGCTGAAACTTTGGGCCCGTGCATCCCCTGGCAGTGGGAGCTGCCCATGCTGCTGGTTTTCATTTATGAAGTTCAGAGGGAATGAAGGCTCATGGAGTATCAGGGCAGAATCTGTGGCCTTGACCTGGTACTGGTATCCCAGGTTGTAAAGAAAATTGACATTCCCTTTCCTCACTCCTCTGGGAAGCAGCACTATTTCTAAATTTTCCTTGTGTGCCTTTTCTATGTATTCTGAACTCATTAGGCTCATCACTGTGGCTTCTCAGTGATGTAACAGTCTTAATTCATAAAAATTTGCTTGGGGCAAGGAAGGAAGGAGGAGGAGGAGGAATTGTGATCCTTCTGCTTGGTTTTGATCACATACTTTTTAGCAAAGTACATGGCAGCTGACCAAGACAATGACACAGTGCTTTCCTTTTTTACAGTTTGAAGATAAATCTGATGCGGTATTTGATATTACAGAAAAATGTAAGTATTTCTATTTATTCTCTAATGTCATAGTTTCACAAAGCCTTTCTTGGAAGTGTCATTGCTGCTGAACAAGACTGCCTTGCCCTCATCCCAGCCCTTCCTGCTCATTCCCTCCTGCATTGCCTTCTCCACAAGTGCTACAAGTGAGGTGAATGGAAATTAATGTTTTTTTTCTTTCTTTGGTTAGTTTTACTCAGTTCAGCTTCTGCTTCAGAGTGGTGAGGGGGACTGAACCATTTCTATGTCAGCAATATTTTCACAGTAACGATGGCCTGAGAAGGCTGAGAATATTCAAGGAATTGCAGCATCAGCCAGATTAGGACACTCACACTTCTCCTTTGTTACACATGAAATCGGTCAATTTTCCGACAGTTCACTGGGATTTTTTTTCTCCTTAGGTGGTGAAATTCTGGATGCAGAGATGTCTGAGGACGCTGAGCACAACTTGACACCCGCCCTGGACAGCTTGTCTTACGGAGTACCCAACCGAGCAGGAGCTGAGAACTCCCTGCAGGGTGATGATCATGATTATTTTCTGAACTCTGGGGATCTTGCAGGCATACCTGTTGTTGGGAGTGACAACGAAGATGATCAGAATTTCGCTCCAAAAGACACTCTTTCTTCAGCAATTCCTGATGAAGATCGTCTGGAAGAGGGCAAGAGAGTTCCAGATCATGAACTGGACAGTGAAAAAGAAATTCAGGTTCAGAATGCTATCCAGAAGGATCTCACTTCCCCCTTTGAGCAGGGCCCTGTATTTAAATCACTTCGAAAAGATTTTAGCATAACACGAGATAATGGCAAAGAGACTTTTTCAGCAAAGGACAAGAATAGAGAAGGACATTTTCAAGAACGTGAAAAACGGTTGGAAAAAATCCCTAAAAATATGGATTCTAGATTGAAAAGCAGTTTTCTTGACAAAGCAGGTAACTGTTGACATCATAGATCTGGCTGCCCAGCAAAGAGGAAGAAAGAACTAGAGAGAAATCAGCAATAGGGCTAATTATTAAAATCATCACCTTGTTGAAGAGAACAGGCAGAGCTGTGTCTAGGGGAACATTTTATGAAGAACCCTGAAATCCAATGAACTCTGTGTTAGGAGGAGGATTTGCACAGGGCTTGGCAGTGTCAGGGAGGTCTCATCCTCCACAGCTTGTTACAGAGCCTCAACATGTCCTTTGTTGTTGTGGTTTCCTAAACCAAGCTGGGTGACAATTCAAGCTTCCTTTTGGTTTTTCTCACTGTTTTTTATAGACCATGGAGCTTCTTAAAAGAAAAGGTGATGAAGTTTAGGTTAAGTTGATGGCCAGTAAAGATTTTTCCAGCAAAGCATCAATTCTTCACTAATGCCTAGGCATTTAAAGCAGTGTGGATTTGATATTATCAGGGAAAGGCTTGCTAGAAAGGAGTTAGTGTCTGCAGGAACTAAGCCAGAACATAGCTTGAAATCTGCTTTTCCTGGGAGACTGCTCCCCTTCTTCCTCAAATGCTTGTGTCTTGGACTTCATCCAGCCAACATGGAAAGAACCAAAGATGCCTAAAATCCCTTTCTCATTTGACAGTCTCCATAATCTTGATGCCCACACACTTATTTTTGTCTTCCCAAGCTCTGAAAGTTACAGCAGAACAGTGAATGAAGGAGTTAAGAATAACCAAGCAGGATGGTTTAATCTCATTCAGCAGAGGGAGGGTGAGCCAGCACGTGAGGGACTCCTGGCTGCTTGTTCACATTCACAGCTTGCAGTTCTCAGGTTTAAACTTTCTATGTTCAACAACAGCATCTTAAAATCAGTGCTTCCAGGTGGCACCAATGATAGAGAAACAATAAAGATATCTTTGAAAATAAAGAAAAGTTACAGATGTATCTCTACTTTTACTTTCAGTTAGAAGTCAAGGGAAGAATGTTTCTGTACCTAAGATGTATTTCAGAAAGTTGTACACACCTACAGTTAAAAGATCAGGTAAAGTAGTCAGTAGTTGGAACCAGAATGATAAATGCTCATGGTAGCATCCAGTATCTAGGCAAATCCAAAGTTTTTAAATGATATATTCTAAAAAAGCAGAAGATGCTATTTCCTGAGAAGAGGGGAAAAGGCAAAAGAACAGAACAGCAAAGAAAAAGCTGGAAGATGTTGCTCTGAAAAGTATTTTTTGATTTAAATGTCAAAACAGGGGAGTTCAGAACCTGCTGAGGTGTGGAAAATTCTGAACGAAGAATTTGTGTCGGAAGTTTGCAACTATTTTGCTGGAATGGGAAAATAATGATCCAATAGAATAATTAAAAAAGAGTCAATTCTCTTTAGGGATTACCAGCTTACCTACAGGGAGGAGAAAGGGAGTAGTGTAATAGTGGTGAGGTGCTGTCAGACACTGGGGTTGGGGAGCACGATGAGACTCTGATAGTTTTAAAGGAAATGCATTGGAACCTGTATTCATTTCTATTTAATGTATATGTTTTCCTCAGTTCATAATCAAGTAGAAGAAACATTACGGACGCAGTTAGCGCCACAAACTCCAGAAACTAACTTCAGGGTAAGCTATAGATCTTTCAACCACTTTTGCAAGTGCAGCAATATGCTGGAATAATTCAAAATACGTATTTTGTATTTGAGTGTAAATTTGAGTGTTAAGGAAACTGATCTTCTGACTCTTAGACATCTTTGCTACTTAAACAGTACATATAATTTTGTAAAATTTTCCTGAGCCTCTCTTTGGATTGAGGATTCTTTTGGTAGCCACTTTCCTGTTCAGCATGGTTGGAGTGACCGGTGAGCCGAACCTACAGCTGGATGCATCCACCTGACCTGCTGCTTTTTTTTTTCCACATGAGCCAGGGAACAGCTGTATCCACAGGAGACACTCCCAAACAACCAACTCACAGAGCTGGGTGTCTTCTGCTTTGGCCAAAGGAGTGGAAAGCATTGGGGGTGGGATGAGAGAGGGGGCTGCAGGGAGGTTGAGGCAGCAGCTGCTGCCCAGCATTTCTCCCACCTTGGCAGGACCCAAATCTCTTGGTCTGCAGCACAAACTCCCCTTGGCAGCAGCCCAACTCCTCATGGCAGATGCAGGAGGGTGAATTCTTTTTCATATTATTGTTTCAGGAGTCTAGCTACCTATTTTCTAGTAAGGAATCTATTGGACAAGAGCTGGGGAATTCCTTTGCACCAAATATTAGAATTAAGAAGGAGCCTTTGGATGACGAATATGCTAAAGCTATGGCCCCACAGCAGGGACTATTAGACAAAATTAAAGATGAACCTGGTAATTCTGAGGTAAGTTTCCCATTGCATTTCTCATTTTGGTCTGACAGCTGACCGCTTAAGCTGAACAAAAATTCAGCCATTTATTTGGTTTGTTGGCCGAAATTTAACTTGAAGAACATAGTTTAGTAGAAGGATTTTTCCCTCTTACACTACTATGAAACCACCCCCCTCAACTTTTTGATGTCTTGTTACCTTGTCTCTGAAAATGTTTTTCTTTTCAGTTAGAAACAAAGCCAAGTGCTCTAAAACTTCTGTAACTAAATCTGTAACAACATAGACACCTTATCTAACTAGGAAATAAACTGTAAATCACATTTTGTTAAATAACTTATGAGTGGTCACAATTAGAGATATGAATTAAAGCAGCTATTGCTGCTACTTCCTTCTTAAAAGCTGCCTTTGCAAGCACAGTAGTTTGTTCTTGTTTTAAATTAACACTTAAAGCACTTAGCAAAATATTGAAGTACTTACACATCAGTGAAGTCAATTTAAATATGTGTTTAAGTGACTTTCTCATTCAGGACTGACACTTTTTATGATGATACAGGTAAAACTGAGTAATTGCAGCCTGGGGAAGGTGTGACCTATGAACTGACCAGTGCTGGGGCCAGGATTGCTGAGCTCCAGCCAATCTCTGTGCCACTGTGTGACACCAGGCAACGAGCTGTGCTGCAATTCCTGTCTCCCCACTGCTCATATCTAGGTTACATAGCAGATTTTATATGTTAAAGGTGTGCAGAACTTCCCAAAATGATGCATCCCTTTGTGCCAACACGGGAGTGTTGGTGTTCCTGTGCAGGTGTTAGTTTTTAGCATCAGTCTTTGTCCTTCTGCTGAACCTCCTCTGCTTTCCGGGCCTGTCTTCCCAGCACTTTTTCTTCTTTTCCCATAATGCTCTCAATTTAATAAGTAAAATATTTGCAACTTCAGATTTTACTGTCCTTCTGATTTGTTCAGTCTCTGTGGGATTGTTTGGGTTTATTTTTCCTTGAACCTGTAGAATGTCAAACCACGTGTAGATTAGTTAAATCTGTCTCTTCTTTTGTCCTCCCAAGATGGCATCTGCTGTGTGGATTTGTGTGGAATGCAAGGCGAGATGTCTGTGGTTATCAAAGATCATATTAATAAGTAAAAATGAAGACTTGAAGAATTTAAATGTCAAATATCGTATGGTTCAAAAAATTCCTTCCTGGAGTAAAATCCTGTGATTATCAACTCTGCCTGATACTGGAAAAGTAGGAGAACTGAGTTCATTTTGTTTTGCTTTAGATTGGAATTACTATGGGGGGGATTTTATGGAATTTTTTTTAAATATTTCCTGAAAGATAAGAGCATTTCTTGCTGTAACCAATAGTTGGAGCTGAAGGCTTTTGGCTTTCAGCACTGTTAAGCTGCTGTGAAACTGCTTGATCATGCACAGTTGATGTCAGGATTTGCCTCCATTTCTTTTCCTACTCTTGACTAATGATACAATTACAGTTAAAGTGCTTAAAAATTGTATGTCTGCAAATGATTAATTTTTAAATAATAAAAATGGTGCTTAAGAATCTCATCACAGCATGCCCATAGCCAGCTTCGAGCTTCTCAGCCTGAGATTTGATTGTTTCAGTCTGATTGTTCACATGGTCAAGGAATACCACTGCCTGTCTCCTGGGAAACATGTTGAAAAATAGTTTGGTTGTCTAGTATAGAAACTTCCAATTTTCCCACAGGAGTGAGAGGAGTGCTCAGTTTGAGCACGTGCTCAGTGGAGGTTGTTGTGGGATTTTGGGAGCTGGCAGAAGCTGGGGGAGCATCTCACTGCCACTGGGAAGGGAGAGCTTCCTTTTGCTTAGGGATTCTGAATTGGTTTCCCTGGCAGCCAGGCAGCAACTGTGAATTTAGCTCAGTCATAACATGACATCATGCCTCACTACTCCCAAACCACTGTAAGTAGGCTAAATCTTATCATCTCTGTAGTTCCAAGAGATTATGCTATTCAGCCTATTAAGATTTACATGTGGAGTGTTCCAAGCTGCTTTCTGGCTCAGATTTCTAGGGAGAGCAGGGGCAGGAAGTGTGCTGTCAGTGTGAATAGCTGCTGGGGACTAAGCCAGTCATTTATAGCATGTCAGCTATTCCACCAGCAGCTGCCCAGGGATTTTCTCATGCTGTAGCAAATGTGAGGTGATTCCCCTCGTGCTGGAGCTGGGACTGTGGTGGTCTGGCCCTGGTGGTGCCAGCCTTGGTCTGCTCCAAGGTCCTAACTCCTGATCCATACAGAATGCTCCTCCACCAGGTCCCAGCTCTATTTCATTGCTATCCTCCTTTATGTGAAGGTAAAACTTCTTTCCCAGAACAGGGCTAAGGGCTGCACTTCCAGCTGGAAGGTTGGAATGGAAAGCAGAGATTTCTTTAAGCTTTGGCTGAATTCTGAGGTGTCTTGGAGTGCAGCTGGAGAGGGGGATGCACCAGGCAGCCCCACCTGTCCATTTGTGCCCCCTCAGGTGTGGTTTGCTGTGGAGCTCTGAGCAGGAGCTGTGTGTGGTGCTCACTTGTCACCCAGCCTTTGGAGCAGGCTTAGGACACCCACTCTTCCCTGAGGCTCAATGCAGCGTTGTGAAAGAATGGAATCATGTAACCTGTTATTACATGTGTGTATTTGTTCTCCTTTTCCTTTCCCTTTGTTTTAGGAGTACGGCCAACAGCCAAAATCTCAGGAAGGGGAGCTGAAAATCAGTGCTGTATTTTCAGTCAGTGGCAATCCTCTTGGTAAGGAATAGGCAAGACTAATTTCATTTAAATCTGTAAAATGTGTCATCTTTGCAAATAGTCTTGCAGGTCACTCTGCATTTTGTTTGCTGTGTCTGATTCCAGTAGGAATGAAGAACTAGTTTGGTTTAGAGAGAAAGAAATTGAGATTATAAAATAATTGTGATTTTGAGGCATAGGAAAATTGAATGTGAAATGCATAGGAGAACTGAATGTGTTAGATATTTTTCAGCTGAAGGAGGGCAGAATTAGATTAGGTCTTAGAAAACAATTGCTCCCCTTTGAGGGTGGGGAGACCCTGGCACAGGTTGCCCAGAAAAGCTGTGGCTGCCCCTGGATCCCTGGAAGTGTCCAAGACCAGGTTGGACATTGGGGCTTGGAGCAACTTGGGATAGTGGAAGGTGTCCCTGCTCTTGCCAGGGGGTAGAATGGGATCATCTTTAAAGTCCCTTCCCACCTAAACCATTCCGTGATTCCATCAAAGGGATGTTAAAAGTGCATTCTCCATCTTCAGAGTAATTATAAAAATCTGCTATGCAGAAAACCAGCACAGGGCATGTATTTGTGGAGAGTTCATCTGCTATTTGATTCTCCTCTAGACCCTGACAACCCAAATAAAGCTATGAGCCTTGTGCTCGCCCCTGCACCCAGTGAGCTCTTTGTAATGGATCTGTGACACTTACTCTGTGTTTTCTCTGTGTGGTTTTTTTTTAGTTCCACAGCTGTCATCAGGTTTCCAGCCTGCTGTGGCATCCTCTGGCATGAGTAAAATGCTACCCTCAGTTCCAAGCACAGCTGTTCGGGTTTCCTGTTCTGGCTGTAAAAAAATCCTGCAGAAGGGGCAAACTGCCTACCAGAGGAAAGGCTCAACCCAGCTCTTCTGCTCCACACTGTGCCTCACTGGATACACCATTCCAGCTTCTCGCCCACCAGCTTCTACCAAGAAAACCTGCTCCAGCTGCTCAAAGTAGGACAGTGCTTTCATTTTTCTACTAATAATTGATATTCGAGCAGATAATGAAAGGCTTCAGTTCTGTTCTTGTGCCCCTCTCTGTGTTGGTAGTGCTGCTCCTCTTATGCTTCCCTTCAAAAATTGGTGGCTGATGCTGTTCTTTGTTAATTGGTCTGTCTGCTTGCAGTTCCATTTCCTTAATTGGGTTTTAAACACACATAGATTTAAAAGCCTCTGTAGTGCAGAATGCATCTTCTCCTTTTTTGATTTAAATGAGCCAAATATGAAAAACTGTGTTTGAAAATGTCCAGCATCTGCCTGCCATTTCAAAATGTCATTGCACTCTCAAAATTATTAACAAGAGTACATTTTTAAAAAGTATTTTATGCATTACTTCTTCTAAAGAAAAATAGATTTATGAATCCCTAAAATGCAGTAAAACATGGGTGAGTTAATGTATTCAAGGTTTCAATTAAATGGATCCACCCTCTCCTGGAGAATGTTTAGTCTCCAGAATAAGCAAGAACAGCAAGTTGACATGAAACTCACATTAATCCTTTATCTCTGTGTTTGTTTTTCTTTTTCCATAGAGAAATTCTAAATCCAAAGGACGTAATCACTGCCCAGTTTGACAACACAGACTTCAGTAAGGATTTCTGCAGCCAGTCTTGTCTGTCCACATATGAACTGAAAAGGAAACCCATTGTCACTATCCACACCAACAGCATTTCCAGCAAGTGCAGCATGTGCCAGAAGAACGCAGTGGTAATTGCCAATTCCCTCATTTGAATTTCTTTAGCTCAGCACAACTTGCTGTCTCTGAGATGAACACAAACATTCTTCCTGTCCTTGCTGCATATTCCTGTCCTTGCAGATCAGGCACGAGGTGAATTACCAGAACGTGGTGCACAAGCTCTGCAGCGACGCCTGCTTCTCGCAGTTCCGCTCGGCCAACAACCTGACCATGAACTGCTGTGAATACTGTGGAGGATACTGCTACAGTGCCTCTGGCCAGTGTCACATCCTGCAGATAGAGGGACAGTCCAAAAAGTTCTGCAGTTCCGTCTGTGTGACAGGTTACAAGCAGGTAGATGTGATGGGACAAGGGGGAATGGGTTCTCATTGCTAGAGGAGAGGCTTAGATGGACATTGGGAAGTTCTTCTCTGTGAGGGTGGGGAGGGCCTGGCACAGGGTGCCCAGAGAAGCTGTGGCTGCCCCATCCCTTGAAGTGTCCAAGGCTAGGTTTGATGGGCCTTGGAGCAACCTGGGATAGTGGAAGTTGTCTCTGCCCATGACAGGAGGTGGAACAGGGTGGGCTTTAAGGTCCCTTCCAACCCAAAACATTCTGGGATTCCATGATTCTGTATTTGGACAAAATACTAAAAATAGAATCCATCTAATTTTTTTATTAGATTTTAGATATTTTAAGAAACATCCATTTTACTGGTTGATTATTTCAGTTACTCTATTGGTCTAAAGTAAGTGCTTTTGTCATTTCAAGAATAAGAGAATCAGTAAGGTTGGAAAAGCCCTCCAAGATCATCAAGTCCAACCTTCAACCAAATACCCAGAGCCCACCAAACCATATCACAAAGTGTCACAGGTCAAAGTGGATTTTGAACACTTCCAGGGATGATAATTTGCTGCTTAATCTTTGCCCAAACATGTTGCTCTGTTTTTTCCTCTCCACTGGACCAGCCATGAGAGAATTCCAGTGTGGGAGAAGACACGGTGGGACCTCCCAGTAGCAGCCTCCTGTGGCTGTTTTCAGCCTTGAGATGCTCCATGAAGAGTATTCCTTACTAAATTGTAGCCTTTGAATTAAGTGGAAAGGAAAAGTAATAATTAGTTGATAATTATGATTTTAACTTTTAAACTTTTCATATTTATTTTTGATTATTGAAGACCTGGGCATTTAAGAGAACCTTAATTTATTATAATAGCTTAATTATTTTTGAATTATTTATTCTAATGCAATTACTTTAGGCAAAATTGCCCTCTGATAAAAGAATGGAACTTCATTTTATGGCTTGACTCTGCTGTCCCATTATCCAGGCCACTTAGGTCAAGAAAGGCCTAATGAATTAAAATTAAAAAAATTACAAAATGTATTTCATCCAGAAAATTACCTTCAGAATTAGTTTTCCTCTGAAACAAATCTGGAGATAAAATTAAATAAGCTGGAAACATTTTCATGCTGCTTTTATATCACACATCAAAACCCCATATGTGATAGTTCTCTTGAAAATACAGTATGTTCAAAGCTTATAAGGTTAAGTCAAATCTATTTTTAATTGATTTTTAAACAGTATTCAGCTCAATTGTCAGGTACATTCTGATAGTTTCTGGAGGTTTGTGGGTGTTTTTAAATCCCTAAAATCTTGTATTCTGTTCTGTGCTGTGAAGAGCTGGAATAGCTAGTGATAGAACAAAGAGCATTTTTAAGGCTGTCATACTAAAATAATCTGATGCACAAATTCTCAAAGTTTTTTCCAAACTTAAATACCTTTTAAAAAAACCTTAAACACAGAAAATGTGTCTGTGACAATCAGGCTTTTTCCTGTATCTCTCTTCAAAGAAGTTTGTAGACCACACACTGAAAACTGTGATTATTACAAGCAGGTGGATCTCTTTCCCATTTTACTATCAAACATCATCAGGGGACCTGCTTCTCCCTGTTCTTTGTTTCCTCATCTCTTCAGTGGGAATATTGTTTATCTGTACAGCTGATGCATTCAAAACCATAAGCAAAATATCAATCCCCTCAGCAGTGTGTTGGAAGTTGTCTGGTACAAGGTTCTGATCTGTGCTAGGACCTGTGGGAGTGTTTGCAGTACCCAGATTGGTACTGGTTAAAGTGGCCTGGGAAGGTGCTCAAACCACAGCTCAGATCAATGAATCTGCACTATAAATAACACAGCTATAAAACAAGTGCTGTTTCAAGCACACCAGCACGTTTTATAAATATTTTATATACTAGTGACAATTTCCAGGTTAATAAAAAATGCCAAGTTTCAAATGAACAAGCAATTTCCCTGTTTCCACAGAAGTCAGCTAAAATTACACCCTGCACACTGTGTAAATCTCTGAGATCTTCAGCTGAGATGGTGGAGGGCACAAATAACTTGGGGAAGATGGAACTGTTTTGTTCTGTTAACTGTTTGTCAGCATACAGAGTAAAAATGGTCACTTCTTCAGGTAAGGTTATCCTTTTATTTCTATAGAAACTTCATTTCCTGTGGCTCATATCCCAACTTTATTTGTCTTGGAAATTAAGGCTTATTCTTATTTTGGGAGGGTGGGAACTATTTTTTTTTTTTTGAAGGGAAGTGCTGAGATGGGAATGAAAGGGCATTCTTTTGTAGGTAAATGTAGCAGTGACAGTACAGCTATTTCAGTTTTGGTTTTAGGGAACTCCACATGATAACCAATCTATTTTCTTTTTTTTTTTTTGCTCTTGCAAGTGCAGCTGGTGGGTTTCCCAGCTAGACAAACCTCTTGTGTGGACATGTGCCATGCCACTGCTGGGACTCTCCTGGCCCTGGTTCCCTGGGGTGATCAGCTTTATTACCTCTGCCCAGTGTTGCATGGAGCTAGGCAAACATTTTCAGCTATTTTTCATGTGGAAATAGAAAAATGCTTACTGACATCCTAGGGATACTGGGAGATTAATTAAATTTCTGGCAAGCAACAGGCACAGCAGCTGCAGTGTCTGCTTCTGAATCTGTGGAAACATCATCTTGGGCTTCTGTCTGTGCCTTGGCTCATCATTCAGACTCTGTTTTTGTATGCACGGTGCAAAATTAGCTGCAATACAACTTGATGTTGCATAAATCACTTTTTCTTCTCTGTTTCACCCTCAGGTGTTCAAGTTCAGTGCAACAGCTGTAAAACCTCAGCAAACCCTCAGTATCACTTGGCTATGTCAGATGGGAGCATACGCAATTTTTGCAGCTACAATTGTGTAGTAGCTTTTCAGGTGTGACATCTAGGATTTCTTCTTAGCTGAATTAACAGAATGCTAAATTGATGGTGGAAATACCCAGGTGCAAGGTGTAACCCTGTAAAGTAAAGCCTGTCTGTTTGCTTTCCCACAGAATCTGTTCAACAAGCCTGCAGGACTGAACTCCTCGGTGGTGCCCCTGTCTCAGGGCCAGGTCATTGTGAGCATCTCCTCGGGGACAGTGGTCTCAGCCACTGGCACCACCTCAACTGTGTCCCCCAGCTCCACGAGCACCCCAGCTGCAGCAGGGCTCCAGAGGTTGGCTGCCCAGTGCCAGCAGGTCACCTTTACCCGTTCTGTTGTGAAAATCAAGTGTCAGCACTGTAACAGATCATTTGCCACCAAACCAGAACTGCTTGACTACAAGGTAATAAAGATCAGGGCTTTCCAAGCTTTTTTTTTTTTCACAACAGAAGCCCAAAAAATTGTAGTTTATGTGCATTGGTCTGTCAGTACTGCTTTGTTGCTTGCAAAGACCTGCTGTGGAGGGTTTTGAAACTGATTTGTTTTAACCAATATCAGATTAATACTGATACTATCTCTATGGTCATAAAACCAGGAAAAAAAGAACTCAGAAAAAAGCCCCAATCCAAATAATTGCCTGTCTAAATAAACACATCCCTGTCTCTTGGACCCAGGGATGCACCTTTTAATCCAAGGACAAAGAACATTGGTGAGGGCTTTCTGCAAGAAATTTTGTTTTATTATAAAACTAAATGGGGAGACTCAGCTGCCAGTGCTCTGTTGCTGATTTCTAAGGGAATAAATACTCTTCTGTTTTTCTGTTAACAATTTAAATGTATTATCTAGGATGTGAGTCATTCAAACACTGAAACCAAAACATTCTGGCTGTGTTGCAGGGTAAAATGTTCCAGTTCTGTGGGAAGACCTGCTGTGATGAGTATAAGAAGAAGGGCAATATGACGGCCTTGTGTGAATACTGCAGGTTTGAGAAAATTATCAAGGAGACAGTGAGAGTCTCAGGCATAGATAAATCATTCTGTAGTGAAGGTAAGAAAGGGCAAAACCCTGCCTCAAAGAAATCAAATCACGAGTGTTTTGCCTAAAAATTATCAGTAATACTAAAAGAAATCTAATATTTTTAAGTTAGGAATCTGTTTTTTAGGTTTAGGAACACAGAATCCTGTTCACACTTTATATTTTAATGGTATGTTTCAATGAATTATTGCAGACATCACTTAATACAGGAATTAGTAGTGCTGAGGGGTTGTCCTATTTGTATTAAAGAATGTTTTTGCTGTTTTCTTTTAGTTTGTAAACTGCTCTATAAACACGACTTGTCTAAGCGTTGGGGAAACCACTGTAAAATGTGCAGTTACTGTTTACAAACTTCCCCCAAACTGGTCCAGAATCACTTTGGGGGAAAAACGGAGGAATTTTGCTCAGAGGAGTGCATGTCTAAATTCACTGTTTTGTTTTACCAGGTAAGCTATATCCTCACATCCTCTAGGTTTTTATACCTATACCCCTTGTTGATGTTTCCAGATGTGTTCAATTTCTCCCAAACTTTGTTTTCCTAGATGGCAAAGTGTGATGGTTGTAAGAGACAAGGTAAACTCAACGAGTCCATAAAATGGCAAGGGGAGATGAAGCATTTTTGCAATCTGCTCTGTATTCTGTTGTTCTGTAAACAGCAAGGTGCTCCTGACCCTTCACTCCCAAACAACACAGGTAAAGCAGGCTGGGGATGGTGTTGCCTTTTGATGGGTGGGCTAGTGAGATGGATGTTTATCTGCAAATTCACTTCAGTGAACTCTTTAAGATCTGTCTTCTCCTGGGGAGCTTGTCTGTTGCTGTTGAGTGGGTTCTGGTTTAGATCACTCTTACTTCAGACCATTTAAACTTCTGTAGGTATGAAATGCAATTGCTTCATGTACCAAACAAATTTTAAAGAAGATGAAGCAAAAGCACTTGCTTTCAGTCACTTCCACGAAACAAAGGCCTGTTTCCTTGGGGTAAAACACAGTGATATGTAGTGCAGACATGTTAAATATCTAGCTTGTCTTCATAACACCAAGAAGATATGGTAGAACATTGATATTCTTTTAGCAATCAAGGGGTGAAATTAGTAGACTTAATGGTTTTAAATACAGACTCCTGTATATGCACTTAAACCAGCCACTTCTGTGCAGACTATAGATATATGAAGACTCTCCATTTCTGTGTCATTAAGTGTTGACTCTTGGGAAATGTCAATCCCAAGGTGTACAGGTGCTGTAGCTGTTTCCTTGAGCAGGTGAAATGGGAATGAGGGCAGGAATGAAGCCCACAGGAACAGGAACTATGAGTTTCTGTAGGGAATGAGACACAAAGAGATGAAAGACCCTCAAAGACAGGAAGAGAAAGGGAGAGAAAAAGCAGGAATATCACTGCTCCTAAAGAAGGGCATCATTTCCCACAGAGTGGCTGCAAGAGCAGGATACCCAAAACCAATAAAATATTAACTGGGAGTTTTTAGTGTGCACCAGGCCATGTTCAGCTTGGTGCACATTGTTTCAATTTGGTGCAATCTGCTGCTTACATTGGTGGGAGCTCTTTTCCCTTCTTTCTTGATTTGCTTGTGGAACTAGCTCCTGTTTAAACTGAAATGCTGCAACTTGACACCTACATCCCTTCTCACACAGCAGCCTCTTTCATCTGGAGACAGATCTGAAGGGTGGGTGTTGTTTCAGAAATGCTTTTTTTTCTCAATTATCTTACTGCTTCTTCTCATTTTCTTCTGTCCACTGTGTCCAGCAAACCTTTCCATGGCACCAGCCTCCTCCTCAGGCCCTCCTTCTTTAAGAAAGGACTCAACCCCTGTCATAGCAAACGTGGTGTCCCTTGCAAGCACCCCAGCTGCCCAGCCTACTGTTAACTCCAACAATGTTTTACAGGGTAAGGCAGCTGAATACGATGCCTGTACTTTTACATCTCTATTCCTGAACATTTATATTTGCTCAGGGATTTTGCTGAGAACAAGGGCCACTTCTTCATTATGCTTCACATCACTGCAGATGATTGCTTTTGTCCTTCCTTTATCTAGGTATAAATAATGACTTAAATTTATGTACATACATCAGGGAATGAGTTTTAATTTGAATTCTTTTTCTTGACCTTGGCAGAATATGGATTATTGTTCTTGATGATAAGTAGACATGTTATTGTATGGTTTTTTTCCTTCACAGGTGCAGTTCCTACTGTGACAGCAAAAACAATAGGAGATGTAAGTTTTACAAGAGACTTTTTCAGTTTTGCCCAGATTGTATCAATAACAATTAAAGTATCCAAGAGTTTGGCACTATCATTTTGTAACTAATTTTTGATGAGGATTTAAAATTCATCCAGCTTGCAGATGCTTTTTAAAAAATGGATAGAACTTAGATGGTACAAAAGTCTTGTGTCCACTGACAGATTTGGATATTTTAAGGCAAAATTTGTCAGATTGTAGCTCTTGAGGTGTCTGTAGTTCCCAAGTAATTCATGTATGACTTCTGCACTTGAGGCTGCCTTTTGTGTCCAGAAGTGGGATAGGATAGCAAAAGAACCAGCCTGGGCTGCTGGGACTGACATGACCAAGCTCCTGCAGCTTCATTTTCCTTCCCCACTCCCTGGCAGTGTGGTGACAGAGCTGTGGGGAGCCACTGTCACCACTTACCTGGGGATAACTCAGAGAGTTCATGTTCCTGAGCTCTTTGAGGTGTGTGGTGTAACATCTTGCAACTCTCCTAAAACACAGAGATGTTTTTATGTAGCTTTAGGTTCTGGAAGACTGACAGCTTTGCTTTTAGCTGGAGTGTCACTTATGGATTAGAGTATGAGTTTTCCCTCTTGAAATAGATCCTGTTATTTGAATGCATGACTGAAAATTACAGTTAGCAGGACATTAGTACAAGCATGAATAGTCAGTCTGTGTGTATCAGGAAATGATGCTGCTGCTGCCAGCATTGCTGTTCATTTTTTACATTTATTTGTTTTCAGTGGTTTCACATTAGTTTACTCAGTTTTATTTGTGTCTCTATCAGCCAGACTTTTAGTCATCAAAAGTATCTTAACATAATTTCTCTTTATATCTCTGCCATCAATAAAATTCCAAGGTCAAAAGTTTATAGCAGTTATTTGACGACAGAAACAAAATATTCTTGCAGATTTGTTCACTGCACTGTTAACAAAATAAGCTTTATTAGCAGAATTAGCTTTAAACAACATTATTGTTGGATCAAAGTAAATTGAGATGGAGACTAGAAAGCACCAAATAAGCAAGCTTATTTTGCAGTAGTTTTTAAATGACCATTTTTATCAGCAAATACAATTTTAAATTGTTCAGCTTCCCATAGTATAGCACAAACTCTAGTCTGATGTTACCTTTCAAACCAATACTGACTGGACCCTCATTTGTGTTTTCCAAACAGGCAAGTACCCAGACAGATGCCCTAAAGCTCCCATCATCAAAACCACCCAGGCTTCTGAAAAACAAAGCTTTATTGTGTAAGCCAATCACCCAGACTAAGGCCACCTCCTGCAAACCTCACACACAAAACAAAGAATGCCAGACAGGTGGGTGTCTGATCTCCTGCCCCTGTTGGAATTGTCTGTACTGCAGTTGAGAGTCATGCATGATTTAGGTAGCAGAGAATATTTTTGAATGTATTATTAAACCTTAACTAGTTTTCAGGTTGTTGTATGGTATTTTCCAACAATTTTTGGTCTGTTGTGTTTTTGGTATAACAGAAGGAGAAGAAGCACCTCCTCAGCCCCAGATCATTGTGGTACCTGTTCCTGTACCAGTGTTTGTGCCAGTGCCCCTCCACCTCTACACCCAGTACACACCAGTTCCCCTGGGAATGCCAGTCCCTGTAAGTTATGCTGCAGTTCACTACAGAAAGCAATGGTTTACAGGCTTGTTTTGCATCCAGCACACCCAGCACTGTGTCACTGGGTGCTGTGTCTGGTCATGCAAATGGTATTTGGAGTCTTTGAAGCCATTTCTCTCCTTATTACATCACATTTGATTAAACATTATCACACAAAACTACCAAATTGTAGGGAGCTGTCCAGTCTGGAGTTATTTTTAACTTCATTTTAGTAGTCCTAAAGTATACATAAGGTTAAATGGGAGGGACCTGCCTGGTGTATTTGCTGTTTCCCTTCACCCCTGAGTATGTTCTGATATTTTCCACATGTTCCATAGGTCCCAGTTCCCATGCTCATCCCAACCACCCCGGATAATGCTGATAAGATCATTGAAAACATTCAGGAAAACAAGGAGAAGATTTCCATTAATCCATTTGAAGCTGATCTCCTTCAGATGGCAGAAATGATCGCAGAAGATGCAGAGAGAGAAAAAACACACTCTCATGGTGGTAGGTGGTGACTTTAAAAAGGATGTGAAATGCAGCCAGGTGAAGGTCCTCTCACCACAGAAATTTCCCTTTCCCTGATTCTAGATGCTGATTTGACTTGTGGTGACAGGGACAGCTAGAAACCTCCAGATCAGTACATCATGTGTTAGAAGGAAGAGTCAAAATCAAGAAGACAGAGCAGCTGCCTTAAAAGAAAATTTTCCTATCATTTTTTTACGAAGGATTCTTGAAGGGTGAGGCAGGTCAGAGTTTGTTAGAGAGTGACCAATCCATGTAATGAAAGTGAAACAAGCTGGAAAGAGATAAACAAAATATCTACTGGTCTATAGATGACTCAAATAACAAACAGGGAGGGATGGAAGCCTTTAGAAAAGCAAACCTACGTTAGCTGTGATTTCTGTTTCCCCTGCAATAGCATGACCAAGGTAGAAAGCTGCTAGGGGAGCTCCAGTGGAGGAGAAGGCACAGCATGTCTGTTCATGTTATGACCTAATACATGGGTTTTTGCTGTTCAAAGTATTTTATATTGGTTGTGCAAACTGTCAGTCATGTGTAGATACAGATTTCTTTCTTTTTCTAAAGGATCTCAAACATCCGAGCACGAGCTCTTCCTGGACCCCAAGATATTTGAGAAAGGTCAGTCAGATTTCTTTATTTTACAAATGGATTTTGATCCTGCTGCATCTTTTCTTGCAAACTCCTGGTTCTGCCTTTCCTGTAGCACATGGTCCTTGTGGTCCCTCTCGTTGCAGACCAGGGCAGCACGTACAGTGGAGATCTGGAGTCAGAAGCAGTGTCCACCCCACACAGCTGGGAGGAGGAGTTGAATCACTACGCCTTACGATCCAATGCCCTGCCAGAACCTGATCCAGAACTCAAGCAGTTCTCCAAAGGTGATGTGGAACAGGACCTGGAGGCAGATTTCCCATCAGGTCAGTGTCATGTAAAGAAAAAACTTATTGTTTTATAAAAGCACACACAATTTTCTGCATGAACATTGTCCCAGCAGCCTGCTTGTGCATTTTCATGTAGTGACAGTGGATGTTTAAAGCTGCAATAGTTGATCACATCTACAAAATATTACTATTTTTAGAATATTACTGCTGTTTTCAAAGACAGCACTCTGCAGAACCCCTGACAGGAGTAGCAGGAAGTTCTTGCTTACCTCCTTTCAATTCATCACTTCTGTGTCCCTGGATATAATCCATGTGGAGTGGTTGCTAAGATATTTGCCTGAATAAACACACCCACTGTTTTGGGGGCTTTTTTGTCCTATTGAGAATTTACTATCCTTATACAGCAAGTGCACAGATTGCTAAATTAGTCAAATGTCAGGATGACTTGAATATACAGGTGTGATTGTCAGCTGTAAGGTGTTCCATAGTATCTCAGTGACAGTGACACTTCTACCTGGGCTGCTAAATCATGTGATTAAACTCTTCATGGTGTTGATTTGACTTCAGACTCATTTGACCCTCTCAGTAAAGGACCGGGTTTGCATTCACGTTCACGGGCAAGACGGAGACACAGGGATGGCTTCCCCCAGCCAAAAAGAAGGGTAAGGAAGTACTCCTGGAACACAAATCCCTGACATTTTGAAATAACAACATTATGTGCCCTAATTTAGCCATCCAGGGATGAGGAGCTGATGAAATCTGCTTTGTTTGGATGTCGTTGCTTGCCTGTAGGGACGGAAGAAGTCTGTGGTTGCTGTGGAGCCCCGGAGTCTGATGCAGGGCTCCTACCCTGGCTGCTCTGTTTCTGGGATGACCCTGAAGTACATGTATGGGGTAAATGCCTGGAAAAACTGGGTCCAATGGAAAAATGCACAGGAGGAGCAAGGGGACCTGAAGTTTTCAGGTAAATTTGTCTCTCAGTGGAAATAGAAATACTTAGTTGAAGAGCACTTGGCTTGATTCATTGTTCAAGTAAAAATTAGGATTAGATGCCACTGAGTTTTGCAATGCCCATTAGTAGAAGACAGATTTTATAGAATTCTCTCTTGCATCTTTCCATGCATTTAAAAATCATAGCTATTACATTCTTAATTGATCTGTTTCCTTTAAAAAAGTCTTTAAAGTGTTAGAAATCTCCACTTTGCCTTCCTTTGCATGCAGCAGTTCTTCATTTGCAGCACAGATGCTTTATGCAGCTGCAGAGCTTTTCTGAGCTATTATAGAACCATGAAATTACAGATATATCAGGCTATAATTCTAAGTTGACAACACCAACTTGGCCCCATCCATTTTATCTGTAGCTGGCACATTCCCAAAGTATTTGTCTGCTGTAAAAAATTTGATTCAACATCAAAATCTTAACACCTTATTTCTAGGCTTCCCAGCTGGAAAGAAACATTTCAAAAGTCTGCCCATTCTGTGCTGCAACCTCCCTGAAAGTAACTTTATTACACCTCATGTCTCAAGGGGGTGACACACGATTTTTTACGTGATTGCACATGCAGCTGGTCTGAGTTTTATTGGCCAAATCATTCAGCTCTCAGCCAACAGATAGGAAAGAGTTCTCCATTTAGTCATACAGAGTAATTAATGCATGAGACAGGAATTTGGGAATTCTGCCTGCATGAAATAATAAGGAATGTGGGAAGAGTTAATGTGCTGAATTAATTTTTCTGATCATTTCCTCTGGCCCAGTTCATCCTGTGAAGCTCAAGGAGGACATTCTCTCATGCACATTTGCTGAGCTGAGTTTTGGCTTGTGCCAGTTTATTCAAGAGGTGCGGAGACCAAACGGAGAAAAATACGACCCTGACAGCATCTTATACTTGTGCCTTGGAATTCAGCAGGTAACTCTGGGAGCCTTTGGCCCCATAATCCACTGGGACATAAGAAAGGAAAAGAATTTGATGTGCTGTATCTTCTCTACAATGTTATATCATCATAAACTGCTTTTCTTCCTGTTTTTTTTTCTCTTGCAGTACCTGTTTGAGAATGGTAGAATAGATAACATTTTCACCGAGCCCTATTCCAGGTTTATGATTGAACTCACAAAACTTTTGAAAATCTGGGAACCTACAATTCTTCCAAATGGTAGGGCAATTCTTTTGTTTTATGTAGCTGGATGATAACGCTGTATCATAAATTAATTTTCTTTTCTCAGGGCCAGGAAGAGAATGTGATCTGAAGCTCTCACATTAGTCTTCCCTCTCTACACCATGGATTTTATGTCTGTTTCTACCAGTTAGGATTACACTTAAATATATCTTTGCCTCTGATCAGTCTTTGGAAAGAAAGGATTTCCATTCTGGCACTCAACAACACATCAGTTTTCTTCTTCCTTCAAATTTTAACTCTTTTTTAATACGAGTAGCCAGAATTTAATACTGTATTTGAGATGAGGTACTGCAAAATCTCTGTATAGTTGCACTGGTATTTCCCTATTAGTGCTGGAAATACTCCTGGTGATTTTGGGGATCACATTAGCAAATCACTTGAGTATTGTCTCAACTCCAAATTCAGATTTCCCAAATTCTGCTGATACTTTTAATTGGTTTTCAAGCCTGATTATGTGGTTTATAGAGCTGGACACCAGCCCTATGAGCACACAACATCTTTAGAGGATCAGTGAAATTTGAATAATGTTGGCAACTCCACAACCACCTTTTCATTTAGAAAAATGAACTTTTTATTTAACACAGAAATAATCCATTTACCTATAGTTTGCTGCACACAGTGATTTTTTTTACAACAAATTTCTTCTAAGCCCCCACATCTCCCTTTCCTGATTTAGGATAATCACAATGGGCAATTTATGCACAAAATGGGACATTTTAAACTCATACTTCACGTTGTAGGAATTACACATGGTTGCAGTTGGCTGACTGTGGTTTAACAGAGTGAAATTAGAACTTAGTGAGAATCTGCTGGTGTTTGCAGTTCCTTTTTATACTTCTCTTCAGGTATTGGAAGATCATGCTGTTCCACAGCTTGGTTCTCCATGCTCCCTCTTACGTTTGTGCATGAATATTCTGGTTTTATTGGATTACAGTTGCTGATGATAGGTGTGAATTTGATTTGACATGTGGTTCATTAATAGAGATTATCTGAAAGAGAATTTATATGCATAAATAACTATTTTATTTTTTCTTTGCCCATTCTTTGTAGGTTATATGTTCTCAAGAATTGAAGAGGAACACTTGTGGGAATGTAAGCAGCTGGGTGCATATTCCCCCATCGTTTTGTTGAACACTCTTCTGTTCTTCAACACCAAATACTTCCAACTAAAGAATGTCAGTGAGCACCTGAAACTGTCCTTTGCCCACGTTATGAGGCGCACCCGGACTCTGAAGTATAATACTAAGATGACATATTTACGTTTTTTCCCACCCTTTCAAAAACAAGAGGTAGAATCAGGTGAGTGCTCTCTGATCCTTGGTGTTTGGGCAGTCACATTTGTGTGGTCTGAGTTGCAGAAACAGAGAATTCTGTGATTTTGTGTTGTCTGCTTCTCTTTTAAAAAGGACTGGGGAGAAATATGTTCTGCAGCAAGCAGAGCTAAGAATATGCTGTTATCCTGAATACATTTGCAGTGTTTTTCTCTGCTTTAAAGAGAAATTCTGAATGAGCCAAGGCACCCAGGAAAAACTTACAAAGGAGGTGTCACAGATTTGGCTACAAATTTGTTTAATAGTCTTTCATAACATCCTCAGCTTGCATAAAGCTCTATTAATACTGCATGAGTTAAAGGCCTTTACTGAAGTCCTTTTCTCAGCACTTCATAATTTTGGGTTTTGCAGGTCCAGACCTTTATTGCGCCTTTTTAATTCCCATATTTGTCCTGGGTCTGTGTGGGGAACAGACAAGGCAGCCCCAGTGGAGAACAACAATATGGGGCTTGCACTCAGAGACAGACACACAGATTTTTGCTGTTAATTTTGGCACTTGGGAAAGGGAAGTCTTTGATCCTTTTGGCTTCTTCAGTTCACAGTTGCAATGCATTACATGAATTCACCTTTAATAAGTAAAATTATGTGCTCCATATTTTCCTGCTAGCTCTTGTGGGTTTTCTAGATGAGGAATGGGCTGTGGACCTGGCCTGTAGGATGTGCAGTCCTTGCCCACCCAGAGATCACACCATGGTTGGATGGTGACACGTGACAGAACAGTTCAAGGAGTGGGTTTGGGTGATGCAGTCACCACTGGCTGCTGGGCTGGGACACCCGGCCTTGTTTCTGAAGGTGCTCTTTTCACTGAACTGTGGTGCCATTTTTGTGTGTCCAGATAAATTATCAGTAGGCAAAAGGAAACGCAGTGAAGATGAGGAGGTTCCAACAGCAGTGGAGATGGCTGAAAACACAGATAACCCCCTCCGGTGCCCAGTCCGACTCTATGAATTCTACTTATCAAAATGGTAAGTGACAGAACTTGAGTTTTGGTCTGTGTGTAGATTAGAACAGGCACTGGGGCAAGGAGCCCACTCAGACCTTCTGTGCCTGTGCTGTGGTTCCTCTCCCCAGTTCCCAATCCCTCAGTGGGAACAGAACAGGAATTCCAACAGCAGCACTGCTGTGAGACCCCCAAACAGCTTTTTTTTTTGTTTGTTACTGATGTTGAGTCAAGAACAGAGTTACAGAGAGAGATGCATTTTAAATAAATACATCTTTAAATAAATAAATTCTTTTACATTACTACAGTGCCCATGGCATTCTCATCTCCCTTAATTCCCATACACCATCCTTGTTGTGAGATTATAAGTAACACCCAAGGAATATCATGTTCCTTGTGAAAGAGTGTAGAAGAGTGAATTAGGTAAAAATCCTGATAAATTTTGCCTGCTGAGAGATGTGAGATTAACTTGTGTTTAGGAGTTGGGTAGCAAGGACAGAGATATAAATCATTTTTCTTTCCTGTTTCTATATAAACTTCAGTTAGATCCTTGAGCAGGTGGAAGATGATGTTCTTCTCTCTTCAAAGAAAATACACATGCAGAATGAAACAGCATCTCATTAGTGTCAGCTGAAACTCAATAAATCACCCTCAGAAATGTACCTCCTGAGCTTACTGCAAATATCCCATTACTGAGGCACAGACAGGCATGCAGCTGTCCAGATTCCTTCTCTCCCTCTTCTTACATTCCTTGTCTTCACTGGCACATTATTAGAAGCTTTTGATTGTTTATGGGCTGGGAAAGCATTTTCCTGCTCCCCATCATATTTCATAGCTGAGTCCCTGCAGAGGGGCAGGCAGCAGTACAAATTCCCTTTGCTGTTTTGGTGTGATTATCCCCAAACCAGGCAGGAGGGACTTGGAACCCTAGCAGAGCCTGGAAGCTGCCTTGGAGTCAGTCAGCCTTTCAGAGAGATGGGCTCAGCATTGCAGCATGGTCAGGCAAGCTGGGATTTGGTTTTACTCACTCTTAAACACCACCTTAGAATCATTTAGGTTCAAAAACTCCTCTAACCCCTCATCAAATTCAGCTGTTCCCCCAGCACTGCCAAGGGCACTACAAGCCATGTCCCCAAGTGCCACATCCACATGGCTGTTAAATCCCTCCAGGGACAGGGACTCCACCACTTGCCAGGGCTGCACAACCCTTTCAGTGAAGAAATTTTCACCCATATCCAGTCTAAGCCTTGAGCCATTTCCAGCAATTCTGGAATCCCAGAACCAGTTTCCCTCAGAGATTGTATGTCAAATGCATTTATCACTCTACCATTAATTGGATGACACTGAAGAAGCACTGCTGCAAAGAAATTACTTTGATTTTCTTTGTTTCTTTATAAGCAACTAATGCTGAGTGACCTGGAAAGAACTTAACTGTTCCCTCTAGGAAGGGGGAGACAGTGTTGCCATGCCAATGTAACTCTGATTTCTTTGCTGACTCTTTCTTTAAACTGTTGGTAAGATTTTAAATGCAGCCTGATGTTCCTAAACCTTGTTTCCTTTGCCCTGGCAGCTCTGAAAGCGTGAAGCAGAGGAGTGATGTGTTCTACCTGCAGCCCGAGCGCTCCTGTGTTCCCAACAGCCCCATTTGGTATTCCACATTGCCAATAGACCCAGGAACCTTGGACATCATGTTAACAAGGATTCTTATGGTGAGGGAGGTACACGAAGAACTTGCCAAAGTCAAATCAGAGGACTCTGATATTGAGTTATCAGACTAACTGCAGCGGGGTATTTTACTTTGAATACACATCAGAAGCACCAAAATGTGAATACGTCCAGCCTTTGGAAAATGTGTATCAAATAAGCCAAGATAATGTCACCTACAGGCAGATTTTGTACCACAGTGGATGTACAAACTGGAACTGGAAGGAAGCAAGCTGTGTAAGCTGCAAATCCCAACGTCCTGCAGCACTGATCAATCCTCAGAACAAATCCAAATGGAACTCACCCATTGGATTGGTGCAGAAATCCTTTATCTGTTTAGGATTTTTAAAAGTTGTGAGATATTTTTAAGGAAAATGGTTGTGTAAAATCTACCCTCACACTGGTGGGCATGGAGAGCTAGATTGTGGCTCAGGTGACTTCCCAGCCTGCTGCCAAGGAACACGTGGAGATCCTTGAGCTCTTCCAGAGGACTCAAGAGAAAGGGGTGAGCTTTAGACAAGCAGACACCTTCCGTTATAAATACACCTACACCTACACCTTTATAATTTTTTTTTTTGGAAACTGGGATCAAATGTTAGGAAGGCAGGAGCCACTGGCCATCCCAAGGGACAACTCTGGCTGCTGTTAACTGGTCACACGAGGCCGGGCTCCAACCCTGGCTCTGTTGGAAGAGGTGCTCTAGGTCAAGCTTCCGAGTGACCTTTGGGGAATGTCCAGGAGGGGATGTCCTGGGCTCTGTGCAGAATTCCTTTCCCAGCCCAGTAGCTCTGCAGTCTGTCCATATAACCCAGCCAATACTGTGGTGCGTGGAAAGTTCATTTCCCTTAAGGCAGCTTTCCTTTCTCCTCTTTCCCTGCTCCTATGGTTTTGATTCTTTTTTAAGGCAAATCTAGAGAGGGCTTTGTCATTTCAAACAGGAATACACACACACTCTTTCTCTTTCCACCTTTGCAACACGGGCAGAGTGTTGTACAAAGGATGCAGTATTACTTCTGAGAACAGAACTGTGGTAGAAAAATGACCATGTGTGTTTTTATCCCACCCCACCCAAAGAGATTTAGTCATAGTGTTGGAAATTGAAAGAGATTTTTTTTTAAGGCTTGGCTGTTACTGAGTCTTTTGGAAGAGTAAAGCTCCCATGTGGTGTTTAGAGGACAGGACATTATCAGGTACTGTCTGTATCTCTCTTTTCTCAAGCTCTAGGTGTGTGTTTCTGATGACCACTGGCCACAAATTCATTGGAAACCCAAGCTATTTTTGAAGAGGAGAATTGTATGGTTTTTATCTAGCTCTGGTCAGTTATCCATCTTCTGTAACAAGGGTCTGATATTTGAGCTTGTCACTAAAATTTCAAGAGATGAAAATCAACAGCCTTGAATAATATTTCAGGTTTTTTGTTTTGTTTTGGTTGGTTGTTTTTTTTATTATTATTTTTTTAGCAGTTACAAAAGTAATTTAACAAAAATAAAATCAGAAAGTAGTCTATTGACGTTGTGTACTCGGTAGTCCTGTCCCTGCCTGTAACAGATTTCACTGATGTATTTTTTAATACAGAAAATTATGTGAAAAGTAAAACCTGCCCCTGATTCTGTCTGACCAAAGCCCATCTGTGTCTGTCATTTCTGAGCAAAGGTTCTGCTTTCTCCTTTGGCCTGGCAGGGGAGATGTTTTGGCCACTCCTCAGCACAGGGATGCTCCTGCAGGCTCAGTTCTTGCTCCATGAACACCAACCTGCCCCTCCCCATTGTTACATGGAATAGTGACATTGCAGGCAGAGTGGTTTGGATTGGGAAGGTTCAGGGAAAACAAAATCATGCTGGAAAGATCAGTTTGTAGGGGATTAAGAATGCCTGAGGTGTGTCTGCTGCTCCCAGGTGTGCCCAGAGCCTCGGTGGCCGTAGCACAGGGGAGGCTCCAGGAATTCCTGTGTCTCCTGGGCAGCTGCTGGGGGAGCTCCCTCCTTCCCTGAGCCCCCTGGGAATGAGCAAGGCAGCAGTGAGGACAGGCTGTGGGGAGGGCAGGATGGGGAGGGTGTGAAAAATAATCCCAAAGTTGAGTGTTCCTTGATAGACCTTAACAGAAATATTCCCATAGAGTAATGTGGGATATTTGTACCTTATGAGAAACACTTTTCTTCCTCTGAACATCCTCTTGTTTCTTGTTTGGGAACACCTTCATTGAGGTCATTTTTTTGCAGGCACTGAGAATGAAAGATACTTGCCTTTCAGGTTCTCTCAGCAAGGCAAGTGAAATCCCTTCAACTTTCACTGGCTGGCAGCAGAGTTGTTAAACATTGTGTAAACTCCTTTGGTGTGGTGGCTGTGACATGAGAAACATTTCATTGCAGTTCCATGGCAATAATTAACACAGTAAGTAGTTTTAGTTTCTATTTCACTCCTGCTTGGAGGCCCTTTGGCAATGGTCTGCTTTTCCCAGAGTCTGCCTGGGCTGTTTTTGCCTCTTGAGGGATTTCTTGTCAGCTCAACTCAAGTTCACATTGATAACACAAGAAGGATTACCTTGAAGGATTAAAGTATATACAAATTATACACCCAGGCTCAATGTTCTGAACACAATCTTGTTTGTAATCAACATTTCTGACTGCTGAGCACACAACATTTATTGAAATATTCTTTAAAACAAAAAAATCATGCTGTGTCCTGCTGAATCCTAGAGTTAACTGGGCTGGAAAAGACCTTTGAGATCATCGAGTCCACCCTGAGACCTAACACCAGCTTGCCAACCAGACCATGGCACTGAGTGCCACATCCAGTCTTAGACTGTAGTTTCATGTGGACAGAGAAGCAATAAAGATGGGTGTGACAAAGAAAAATGGAAAACTTCCTGCTACCAGGGTTCCAGCAGCTCCCAGTGCAGGAGGTGCAAACCTGCTGCTCCATCCTGGCTTCAGTTCACTAAAGAAGGGAACTGGGGGCACATGAAAAGCCACAGAACTAGGTAGAAAAGGAAGTTAAATTACCTTGGGAATTATTCTGCCAACTACTGCTAAAAGAAAAAAAAAATCTCAGGATTTCTCTGGAATAGTTTCAAAGTCTTCAGAGACTTAAAACAGCAGCAAAGTCCCTCATCACGTGTCCCCAGCTGTGCTGCTGCTTCAGTGCCAGGGCTCACAGAGGTCAGAGGAATGTGCAATAAAGTCATTGGGCTTTTGGTAACAATCCCAGTAACTGCCCAGCCCCCTGAGCAGCACTTTCACTGTTGTCTTAACAACCAAAGAACCCAGAATAAATGCTGTGCACCCAGTGCTTACTCTGCTCATAACCCTGGCATGGCTGCAGCTTTGCTCCCCTCAGCACAGCAGGTTCCTCCCCATTCTTCCTTGACCTTTCTAAGCATTCCAGAGGCAAAACAAGGATTTGCTGCCTTCATGAAAGAGCTGCTCCCTGGCTGTACTTCCCCTGTAGCATCATCAGCCTTGTAAGATGCTATGTAAGAAATAGCTTTTGAGCCCTTGAGCTCCCAAGCATTAACTGTTGGGTTTTTTTTTTTGCTTTACCTGTGTATGAGCATCAAAAGTCTGTAAAAATTCACAGACCATTGCTGAGGAGAAAGGCTAGAAGGAGTTTTGGGAGCACAAAAATGGGTGTGCTGTGCCTCTGAGAGCTGCAGGTCTTGTCTCGTGTTGCCAGAGCTTCACACCTGCTTCACCTGTGATGTGACAGAGGAGTCCCCATGGGATCCCCTCCTTTGCCTTACAGGGAAATCCCTTTGTTCCAGCACCACAGAGCTGGGCAGGTAGGACTGACTCTGCTTTGCATCTTCCCCAGGAGGAAACAATTGGTTTGGAATCCATGTGGGGGTCAAATGGTTTTGCACAGCATTACTGTGTTTGTTAGGAAGTTGACCCCAGCCCTTTTTTAGGTGGATTTTTTTAAAACTAAGGGAAAAATCACTCATTTAGTCTGACCACTGGCACCAACTTCTTCCAGCAGCAGAGTTATAAGAACTTGTCTTTTTATCTTCAGTTTCACCACCACAATCCCAAGGAGCATTCCAGAAGTTTTCTGTTGTGTTGTGCTTTCAGAGGGAACAATTTTGGACGTGCCAGGAAAAGCAAGTGGCAAAAGGTGCTGGGAATGTGCTTTGGGGAGGCAGGTAATTGATGGTACATGGCAAAGCACTAATATAAATTTTAAATACCTAAGATTAATGGTTTTATATTCCAAACATCTCACTTAGGAGGTCCTTGGTGCTCAGCCGCTGACACCAGTGCTGGCTCTGCTCCAGGGAGTGTTGCACAGATGCAGAATGGTTTTTAAAGTCATAAAGGCTCAAAAGAACTTGGGTTCAGCTTGAATTCCTCTAGCCACAGAACTGAAATGTCCATTGGAAATCACATTGCCTAAGCTGATGGATTTTCAGCAGATGTTCAGCTTTTATTAAAGAAACAAACCTGGGATACCTGACTTTCACCTCTCAGGTGAGAGATAGGAATTTATGACAATGAAACAGTGAAGTTAGACAGAGCTCTACACCACACATCTCAAAGTTAATCCCAAGAACATGGTTTTAATCTTGGAAGATCCAAGTGGACGTGGGTAGCACAAGCCACACACTCCAGCTTGGTAGTCTTGATTCTTAGTCAGCCTTTGGATATGTCAACACAGGGGCTTGGGCCTGTGTGTGCTGGGCTTTTTATCCTCTCTTTTGCATATTTATGGCACAAACAGCCAGAGCAATTTGCATTGGTCTTTTTGACCTGCTGGGAGCCAGGCTGCAGCTTTGGAGAGAAGGGTGAGGGTGATGGCACCTGAACTTTCTCCCCAGCTAAGGCACCAACTCATCCCCAGCCCCAGCGCACACTTCCTGTCACTCCTGAGGGTCGATGTCCCCACGTCTGTCCCTTCCAAGCTGTACCTGGGTTGTACCCTCTGTAAATTGGCCAGACTTTCCTACCTCGTTTGGGCATTATGAGGCAGAATTCCACAGGATGCTTTGCAGCCCCATGATGAAAGGTGCTATAAAACTGCAAAGTGTTACTTCAGAAGATGTAATTAGATCACCAGTGCATCATAACCCATATTAAACAGACAATTTTTTAATATGAGAATTTATAGAGTTCAATGTATGGTATTCATAAGTGAATTATTGAGACCCTCAAAAGAGTTTTTGTTTCAATCGTATCTGTATTCTGGAAAAGTGATTAAAAAACTTTAACCTTAATAAGAGTGCAGCCATTTTCCTTTCCTCTACGATGCTGGAATCTAAAAGCAATTTACAAACCACTACACAGTTTAAAAGCAGAATCTCAGAGATTTCATGTGGGAAGGGCTCAGCAGTTTCTAAGCCACAGTTAAAATTGCAGCTGATCACCTGCACAGCAGCACCTGCTGGTTCCCACCTGGAGTTCCCACTCACACTGGGTTTTGCTCCTCTGGCATGGGCTGTAGATACTGCCCTGCCCCAAAGTGAGTGCAGGGGAACTGGGGGCACCATCAGTGAGCAGGGCAGGCCTGGGGACAGAACATGCCCTGTGCCCTGTCACCCTCTAATGCCACCATCACCCAAGAGCTGCAGCCACACAGAAACACCAACTCTGGTGCCAGCAAAGCACATTTATTGGCTTCAGGGAAATCGCTGCCCACAAGAATCCAAAGCTTTTAAAAGGGGAGGCAAAGCCCTGAGGGGTCTGAGGGGTTTTCCAGCACCTGCAACTGTGCATGGCAAGGCCTTGGGATCAGGAACCTGCTTGGCTTCTCTTGGGTTGCTTGTCTGCAGTTGTCTCCTCCTCGTGTTTGTCACCTGAGTTACTTTTTCTTGGGTTTGTCACTCAGGTTTTTATCCTTTTTTAGGTTTGTCACTTGGTGGTTTCTTCCCTTTGGACAGCCAGGCACCGATTGCTGCACCAGCTGAGCTCAGGGCAGAAGTCAGCCCAACTTTGGCACCAAGAGAGAAACCTGCAGCTCCTGCAAGGACAAATGGAGATGTGAACTCCCAGGAGCACCAAGGCTGCCTGCTGAGGCACCCAGCACTGGGCACAGCCAGCCAAGGACTCCTCCTGGGCAGGGAGAGCCCAGAGGGTTCGGAGCAGTTCAGACCAGGGAGGAGTTGAAGGGCAGCTTTGGCCCTAGAGCCAGCCCGTGCTCCCTGCCATGGAGATCAGCCCAGCTCCCCTGCCCTCCCACTCACCGATGGACTGCAGCACGGCCACGGTGCTGCCAGCAGCCACTCCGCCGCCGTTGGCGATGGCAGCTGCCGACATCATCTTGGCAGCGACGGAGCCAGCGGCGATGCCGGCCCCGGTGAACCCCAGCGCAGCGATGCCCAGCGGGATGCCAACCAGTGCCACTCCTGCAGGGGGGACAGAGCAGCTTTAGGGTCCTTGCTGTGACCCACATAGATTGTCTAGTCCAACCTATGAGCTAACACCCCCTCATCAAATAAACCATGGCACTGAGTGCCACCTCCTGTCTTTTTTTAAACACATCCAGGGCAGACAATCCACCTCCATGGGCAGACAATTCCAGTGCCTAATCAGTCTTTCAGTGAAGATTTGTTTTCCTGATGTCTAACCTAAACTTCCCCTGCACCTTACCTGGATTATCCCCATCCTTGGGACCATCGTCAGAACCATTGTCAGGACCATTCCCAGGATCATCCCCAGGACCATCCCCATCCTTGGGTTTGTCCCTGGATTCCTCATCTGAATTTATCTTCTTCTTGGACTCATCACTAGGAGTCGTCTCCTCCCCAGATTCCTCATCTGAAATTGTCTCCTCCTTGGGTTCCTCCTCTGGAGTTGGCTTCCTCTTGGACATCTTGGCAGAGTCTCCTGCACCAAGTGACAGCAGGACAGATGTCAGCCCAATTTTGGCACCAAGAGAGAAACCTGCAGCTCGAGGCTGCTGCTGCCTCTCTCACAGCAGCACCCTGAGTCTCTCGGGCCCCAGCACTCGCAGCCCCCAGCCTGGCAGTGAACCCCAGAGCCAGAATTTACCTGCTGGGGCAGCTGCTCCAGTGGCAGCTCCTTTGCCTCTGTGTCTCACAGCTGAGAGGGAAACAAGCAGAAAGGCAGGAGGGAAAAGAGGAAAAGGAATCAAAGAGGAAGAGGAGAGGGAGGTGGAAGAGGGAAGGAAGCAGCACTGCCCGCGCTGCCCACCTGCCACCAGCGTTGCTCACCTGCCCACGGTGCCCGCTGGACTGGAATGGTCCCGAGGTGGAGTGGAATGGCTCCGCGGTGCCCGGTGGACTGGAATGGTCCCGAGGTGAAGTGGAATAGTCCCGCGGTGCCCGGTGGGCTGGAACAGTCCCAGTGCTCGCCCCGGGGCCGCCCCGTGCCAGGCACGCCCGGGCTGGAGGCGGAGGGCTGAGCGCGACTCTTCCTCCGGGCGGTCAGACACAGCAAGGGGGGCACGGCACAGAGCTGGGGGTCCCAGCCGCGGTACCGGGGGGGCTCCAGAGCGTGGGGTCAGGCACACAATTGTCCTGTTGTGTACCGAAGAGTCACGGCACGGCAGCCAAACCAGAGCCCTGGGGGGCTGTCGAAGCTTAACCCAGCCAGCCCCAAGCACCTCGCAGCTGCCTGCTCATCACCCCCAGCCCTCCACCCCCATCGGGACCGGGGACAGAATGGAAGGGTAAGAACTAGAAAACTTGTGGGTTGAAAGAAACAGTTTAATAGGGAAAGCAAAAGCCGTGCACGCAAGCAAAGCAAACCCGGGAATTCCGTCCCTGCTTCCCGTGGGCAGGGAGGGGTTCAGCTCCTCCAGGAGAGCGGGACTCCTGCAGACGGGACAGACGCGAGAAGAGAAACGCCATCATTCCCAATGTCCCCTCCTTTGTCCATTCCTGCTGTGTCACACGGTCTGGGATATCCCATTGGCTCTGTTGGGGTCACCTGTCCCTCCCACGTCTCCTCCCAACCTCCCACGCACTCCCAAATCCCTCCCCAGCATGGCTGTGTGAGTGCTTGCAAATGCCTCGGCTCCGGGCAAGCTCAACACTAACAAAACCTCTGTATCATCAACCTCGTGTTTGGCACTAAACCAAAACACAGCCGCAGAGCAGCCCCTGGGAGGAAAATGACCCCTACCCCAGCCCAAAGCAGCACAATGACCAAGAGCTCTGAGGAGTCCTGAGGAAGAGGAGGAGAAATCAGCTCAGGGCTCCCCAGCTGGCCCTGCCCACCATTCCCCCAACAAGGGGGAACACCCCACGGAGGAGCAATGTCAAACCAGCTACAACTGCCTGTGGTGCCACCTTGTGTCTGGGAGGCATCCTGATCCGTTCGGAATTCCAGCAGGCAGCCGGCCACTCCGGGCCCCTTGACATGTCACTCCAGACCCTTTTAAATTCTCCCTTTCCTTCTTCCTTGCTGTCTCCTTCAGGTCCCTGTGCGCCCCCCAGGGCCCTCGCTGGCTCCCTAACCCCGGCACCGAGCCCCTGCAGAATTACACCGCAGCACAACCCAGCTGTCAGGATGTTTAAAAAATCCCTCCCTTCGCCTTGTCCTCCCCACGGCCACCCGGGCCTGGGGACACTGAGCACAAGGCTGGCTTGCCCAGCCCCAATCCTCTTAATGAACCCTTCCAAAAAGGGCAGGTGTGTAAAGGGAATCAAAACTTACTGATCCACCTCCCTGTAATTTTGTTTCCACGATCAAACATTCCTGAAGTCTGCTAATAAAGAACAATGAATCGTTTAAATTTTCATTTGGAACTTTATTCCCTGGCTCCCAGCTGCAAGGCAGGAGAAAATTCCTGCTTGATTATTCCAAAAGAAGCAGGAAAAACCCCTTAAATCAGAAACATCAGGACTTCTCCTTACCTCCAGCCTCATAAATGACAGCTGCAATGATTTGTCTCCATCTTGCAAGCCATTAACCTATTCAGCTGTTGTCAAAGTCGTTTACAGAAGGTAATTGTTAATTGTTGCCTCTGCATCAGTCCAGATTCTAATTAAACAAATAATAATCGGGATCCATCCTCACAAAAGGGTTTTATCATCTTTTCTCAGATACCATCTCCATGGGGACCCAAAGCTCCACACAGAAAATCAGGCAGGCTTCAGATGCCCTTGACATGGAAGTTTTCCTTGGTGGTGGAGACAAAATTGGGGCATGGGAGCTGGATTTTTTATCAAGCTGGTGACAGGAAAGCCAGGACTGGAGCCAAGGAGGACTTGCTGGTTCTGACTGCCAGACCTGGAGTTTCCTGATGCAGTCTGAAAGTTGGGGAATGCAACCAAGGTGTTCTCCCAGCAGCACAGCTCCTGCAGGAGCACCACACCTTGGAGAGGATCCTCAAGGAACAGGGCTGTTCTAAGGACAGGTGCAGGGAGAAAGGAATAAATCTGCCTGAGGGCTTGCCCTTTTTACAGTGTTGAAATTTAAGTCGTACAAAAGGCATTTTTCATTATTATTAATTTTAAAAGGCATTTCAATAAATACCTTTCTCCTTTTCTATCCTCAACCTATGCTACACAGGAAAAGAAAAAAAAAGGAAATTCAGTGTAAAAACCCCACCACACGCACATGAAGTTCAATTTTACACCCTGTGCCACAGTTAGGATGTCCCAGGGTGCAAATGCAGTTTCACAGGCACAGATCTTACTTTGCAAGTGGTTTGTCCTGCAGACACCTGGAGCTGGACTAGGATTTATTTGTTTGCACGTTAAAACAGCCAGACCAGAGCAAGGAAATTTCCTCTTGGCCAAGAATCTGCAGCAACCAAAGCTGAACAGGCTGACAGGTCCTTTTCCAACCCAGAGCAGCAGGAGCTGCTGCCAGCGCCACGAGGCCTCCCCTGGATGCTGCACCCCCTGCATCCCTACCCCAGCAGGGCTGTGGCTGATCCCGGCACCAGGAGGGAGCAAAACCCGGCCTGGTTCTTCCTCAGGAGCATCGTGCCTGTCCCAGCCTCTAGGAACAGCTTCTGGAAGCCAAGCAGCCCCCGTGGTTTGCCTCACGGAGTCTCTTGCTGCCAGAGCACAGCCCTGCCTCAGCCCAAACATCACCAGCTGCATCCCCGCTCAGGCTTCTCACCCAGATATGACTAAGCCCTTCAGAAGGAGAAACGCTCAGGGTTTCTTGCTTAATTGGTAAAACAGATTAATTTGAGTACCCAGCACACAGCCAAACGGAAAAGAGGAATTGACACACCTAGCGGGTTCCTGCTGGGGCTGATGGTGTGCTTTAATTGATGGGTCACGTTTGGGGATGATTTTCCACCCCTGCTGGGGCTGATGGTGTGCTTTAATTGATGGGTCACGTTTGGGGATGATTTTCCACCCCGTAGCTGCCACAGGCTCCCCTCCTGCCCGCCACATTCCCTGCAGCCTTCTGACCACTAGTGCTTTGGGAGGATTAGACCAAGAATGTAAGTGATGCAAACCAGCACACGTCACCTTCAAGCTCGAGGCTTTGCTGCCACATGTCATGGAAAGGGCCCATGCCTTCACCACAGGCAGCTCCCCCAAGAATTAGGGACTGCATCTTCACCAAAGGGCCCCTTGGCTCCGAAAGTTTAGGCAGTAAAGCAGGTAAAAACCCGTTTGGGTTGCTCTGCTCACACACATGTGACAGCCAGGATGTTGGAGGAGAGCCAGGAAATCAGGGTGGCCGCAGTGCCAAGCGACCCCCCCACGCTGCTCCAGAGGTTTTATTGGAGCCTTATCAGATTTCCTGGTGACTCAGAGCAAGCGGTCACCGGGGAGAAGGGCATGGCCACAGCAGAGACGGGGTACAGCCCCACGGCGCTGCAGAGCAGACCCCTCTGTGCCCCAGAGCCCCCCAGCCCAGAGCTGTCCCGCTGCACACTGAGGACAGGCTCTCTGCGAGGAGCAAACACAGCAGGCAGTTTGTCAGAGAGCTGTGCCCGTCCCCCAGGCCGGGCTGGTCCCCACAGGGTGGCTGGTGACCCCTGTCCCTGCTGGCCCAGCGCAGAGCCCCTCTGCCCTCCAACAGCAGCAGATCCCTGCTTTCCTCCTGTCCCCTGGCACCCCCGACCATGCTTTGGGGCCTTTGATTCCCGCAGAGCTCCCCGCCCTGTGCAGCTCCTCTTGTGCTTGCCCCCGAGCCAGCTTTGCAGAGCACCCCCTGCCCCTGCACCCTGCCTGTGCCCTGCACCCCCTGCTCCTGCACCCCCTGCCCCTGCACCCTGCCTGTGCCCTGCACCCCCTGCTCCTCCCCTTCCCCTTCCCCCCCTCCTCCATCAGCAGCCCCCGCTCCCGTTCTCGCTGTTCTCCCTCTGTCCTCTCCCCCAGCTCCGGCCCCGGCCCCACCGCCATCCCCTCCTCTCCCTCTCCCCTGACTCCCCTCCTCTCCCTCTCCCCCGCCCGCCCGCCGCCATGGGCGCCGCGGCCCTGCGCGCCCTGCCCTGGGCGCTGCTGCTGCTGGGGCCGCTGCTGCCCGGGCAGGTCCTGCAGGCCAACCCCATGCTCACCTCCGAGGGCCAGCCCGCGCCGCTGCCCGGCGGAGACGTGCCGGGCTTCACCGCCGCGCCGCCCGCCGCCCCCGAGGAGATCCACCCGCTGAAGGAGCAGCCGGCCAACGGCTCGGGAGAGGGGCACGCCAAGCACCGCAAAGCCTTCCCGGTCATCGGCATCGACTACACGCACGTCCGCATCCCCTTCGAGATCTCCCTCTGGATCCTCCTGGCCTGCCTCATGAAGCTGGGTAGGCGGGCGGCCTTGTGGGGGCAGTCCGTGGGAGAGGGCCTGGGGAGAGGCCCCGGTGGCCTGGAGAAGGAGGGACCCCCGGGCAAGTGGGACAGAGACCCCCCAGGCATCACAGGGAGTGACCCTCGTGAGCATCTGTCAGGAGGGACCCGCCGAGCATCCCGGGGTGGGACCCCCCGGGCACCCCAGGGCAGGACCCCCCAGCTGGGCAGGAGAGACACCCCCAGTCATCCCAAGGAGAGCCCCCTGCGAGCATCCCGAGGAGGAGGGACCTCTTGGAGCATCCTAGGGACAGACCCCTCTGAACATTCCAGGGTGGGACCACCCCAAACATCCCAGGGCAAAATCTGCACATCTGCAAACCTCGCAGGCCGGCTGGGCCGGGTGGGCTCTGCTCTCCCCATGACCTTGGGTCTCTGTCCTGGGCCTGGTGGACAGCGGCATCCCGGCCCCTGCACTCCCCCAGACTTCTCATCTCCGTGCCTGGCAGCGGGCCTGGAGATGCTCCTGACCTCTGCTTGGACCAGGTTTGCTTTCCTCCCTTTGACACTCAGGGAGGAAGCACCCAGTTTGCTCACTTCCTCTCTAAACCACAGATGCTTTTTGTAACCTTGGAGAAGTCACTCAAAAAACCTCCCGGTGCTCCCCTTCCTCCCCCTCCGCAGCAAACCAGGGTGGCTTTGCCTCTGCTGCAAAGAGATTCCTGCATTAAAGAGAGCCGCTGGGGCTGGAAAAGTCACCCGCTGGGATGGCTCTGGGAAAGCATCACTCTGCCGGGGCGGGGGTTGTTGACAAAGTGTTTTCCAAACTTCTGCAGCTGGATCAATAGCAGCCGAATTAGCCCAAAGCTGTGACGTGATGTAACCCGCTGTGCTGTCCCCAGCAGTGCAGAGGTTGAGCTGGCCCTGGTCCCATCCCTGGTGATAAAGCCAGGGGGACAGGTGAAATGTTTGCCTTGGAGCAGGTGAGGAGGGAAGGGAGCTCTGCACACCTTCATTTTGCTCCTCAGTTGCCATCAGTGGTTTAACAACACTCACTTATGGGGCGCTTCAGCTTGCTGAGGGAAATCCTGCTTTGGGAGCTTTTTAAAGCTAGTTCCTGTTGTAAACTGTGCCGTGTCCTGGTCTGGAGGGGTCTGAGAGCCCCCCAGGAGCTCAGATCCTTCCTGCCCAGCGACTCCTCAAAATATCCCACCGCATTCCCAGCCCGCCGCGAGCGTGCGTAGGCAGGTGCAGCCCCGTTTCCACAATCCCTCCTGAGTGCTTTATTTACGTGCAGGCGGAGGAGTGAGAACACTTCAGACCCGGAGGCTTGTCTGGGAGACAGGCTGGAACCAGGTGGGAGCCGTGGGGTTTGTGCCAGGCTCAGCTGGAAGGTGCCTCTCCCTGGGGAGGGCAGCTCTCCTCTCGCAGGGCTCCGCTGTTGCACTGCGCCTTCAGCTGCTCCCGGAGCAGGCAGTGATGAAATCAGGAATATCTGTGCGGAAGCTGGAGCAGAAAGGAGGGGCCAATGGCCTGCGGCCCTGCCACGGGGAGAGCTGGCAAGCAGCAGAGTGGGCAGCGGCTCGGGGGGATGGAGGGACAGGCTGGGGACACCACCAGACTCTGTGTCACTGGTGCTGTGACGGGAAGCTGCTCCTGCCGCCCTGGCCCGGGGTCAGGGCTCGTTTGTGCTGCAGGAAAAGTTGTGGCTGCCGGCTGTCAGCTCTTTGATGCTACAAGTATTATGCAAGACTGCGTGTTTTAAGGGGTGTATTTTAGGAGAGGCTGCCCTGCAAGTTTGGCAAAGGCGGCAGGTGCTCTGCAGAGCTCTAGAGATGTTGATTATGCCAAAATCCACACCTTAGCTTACCTACAGCAGTGACAGGGCCTTGACAGCAGGGCGGTCCTGGGACTCCCTTTTCCTTGGCCTCCTTTCCTTTTTGTGTTTCTTGTTCGTGCTGCCTTGGCAGGTAGTTCCCGAGTTGCAGGTACAGCTCCCTGTGCTCGTGAGCAGCCAAAAACCACTCACTGCTCTGTGTCCGTATCCCAGCTCTGTCTTTCCTGCCCTGGATCACGGGGTGTTGCTCAGCAGCAGCAAAACAGGCTTTTTTCCACGCAGGGATAGCTCTTACACAAGTGGGCACTGCTGGCAGCACACCCTGGAGTGGCAGGATGAGGCTCACTCAGCTCCAGGCTCCCTGAACCAGACAGGGTCTGCAGCATCCCCCTTCCAGGAAGAGAACAAGGGGGCTGATAAACAGAACAGGAGTTTGCAGTGCTTCCTCTTTCTCCCCACACTGTCAGTGTGCATTTATTGATGCATCAGGGTGATCCTGAGGGGACCAACATCTTTTTCCTGCGGTGTGGGCTGTGCATGACAGCTCAGCACCTCCTGCCTGCCCTCCCCCAGCTCCACAGACCTCCTTACTGGGCTGAAGCTGGTGATGGAGCCACAGGTAGTGCAGGGTGACCATGTCAAGGAGCTCAGAAGTACTCCCAGGGCTCTGCTCCAGGCCAGGAGATGCAGCCTGACCTTGTCCTGTTGCTCAGTTTCCCCCTGTTGCTCTTGATGATTTAGACAGCTCTTCAGACTTAAAGCATCCTCCTGTTGTCCCATGCAGGGGATTTGTCCTTTCTCCAGCAGCTCTCACTGTGAGTTTGTTTGTGGAGTCAAAGGTGTGAGGTGAGCCCTTCCCCTCTAGCTGCAGTTTTTGTAGAATGCCTCAGAGATGTTGGTTTCTGGAGGATTCCTCACCCGACAGGGCACAGGGGATGTGTCTCCCCAGCATGTCCTGCAGGCGTGGGCTGTCCCTCTTTGCTAATCCCCGTGGAGAAGGGGAAGCTGGTGCTGGCTGCTTTACTTAATACTCACATGATATTTTAAGGCTGTGCAGGGGAAGAGGGAGTGAGGGGCAGCTACGACCATGTCATGTCACGTCTGGTGGTGGCATGACTTGGCCAGGAGAAGCCTTTGCAGCTGCAAGTTGCAGCCAGACCTTTTCCCAACCTATTGTATTGTTGCAGAAGGTCAGACCCTCCCAAAACACCCCAGTCAGGAGCTCTCTTGCCCTTCTCCAAGGTTTTGCAGGGGTATCATGAGGGTTCCTTCACACCATGCCCAGGGAGAGGTTGGGAAGCTGAGGGGTTTCCCAGCAGGAAAACCTGCTTTCCTCACTCTGAGGGTTGACCTTTCAGCTCACGTGGCTCCCAGAGACGTTAGGGGGAATTCAGGTTGGACTGTAAACACCTCCTCGTTTCAAGGAAAGGGAAGGAGTGAGTCAGGAATGTAAATAACAGATTGTGGTCAGCAGTGCCTTTCTGGCTGTGCTGGGGCCCAGCAGGCAGAGCTTTGTGGTGAGCACCAGCTCTCACCCACCTTGGAGAAGAGCTGGGGCTGCCTGTGCCTCCAAAGCCCATGCTGGCCCTTCCTTGTAAAGCCAGGAAGCAGAGAGTGATATTCCATTAGCCACCTTCCTCTGAGGCATGTCCTGCTGTCTGTCTGCACCAAATGGCTTCTTCCCAGCCTCCCTCGAGCATCCTGGCCATTCCACCTCCAGCTCAAGGAGATTGCAGGGGGTGGTGTGCTCACCTTGGCTGGAAAGTAACCTTAAATGTATGTCTTGAGCCCAAGGTTTGAAAGCTGTGTGGTGCCTTTCCTTCTTTTCTCTGGGAGTCCATCTCCCCCAGATGAACAGAGTCTTCAAACCAGGGCCTGTCATGACAGGACAAGGAGAAGTGGTTTTACAAAGGCAGGTTTAGATCAAATATAAGAAAGAAATAACATACTCAGAAGGTGGTGAGGCCCTGGCACAGCTTGCCCAGAGAAACTGTGGCTGCCCCATCTCTGGAAGTGTCCAAGGCCAGGTTGGAGAGGGCTTGGAGCAGCCTGGGACAGTGGAGGTGTCCCTGCCTGGGGTGGGGGGTGTGGAATTGGGTGGGCTTTAAGGTCCCTTCCAACCATTCCATGATTCTGTGACTCGTGGTGCTCACCAAGCTGCTCTATCACTTCCCTCCTCTGCAGGAGAAACTAGGATGGAAAAATCCTCATGGACGGAGATAAAGGCAGTTTAATAAAGCAAAGGCAAAGGCCATGTGCGGAAACAAAGGGAAACAAAAGATTTATTCTCTACTTCCCATCAGCAGATGATGTCCAGCCACTTCCTGGGAAGTACCTTCAGGGGCACAGTGGCTGCTCCGGAAAGCAAATGTCCTAATTGGAGCTGCCCACCCTCTCTTCCTCTTTACTCTTTGCTCTGTGTGGTGTGCAATGTCCCTTTGGTCAGGCTGGGACAGTCCCAGCAGTGTCCCCTCCCAGACTGCTGCCCAGCCCAGCTCCTCCTGAGCGTGGGGGCAGCTTTGATGCTGTGAGTGTCGCTCAGCTGAAGCACAGGGTGTTATCACCCCCTTCCAGCCACCACAGAGGCTCTGCACTCTGAGGGCTGCTGTGGGGCAGATGAGCTGCAGCCCAGCCAGCCCCAGGGCGTGGGGACATCACTCCCTGTGTCCCCACACCATTGACTGTGCTGGGGTCTCACGAGCAGCGCTTGCAGCTGAGCTCCTTCTCTCACCAGACACCGTGGCAGTCCCTGAGTCACTGCTCTGTCTCTCCTTCCCTTGGCAGCCCTGCTGTGTCTGGGGTGTTCCCTGCCCCTCCAGACCGAGTGACGGCTGCCAGCGCCAGCCTGGCACTCCCAGCACTGTCCCCACCGTGTCCCCCGTGTGCCTGTTGGGCTGCTGTAAAACGAGCTGGGGATGGAGCTGTGCTCAGAGAGCCCAGAGCTGGGGTGGGTTACGTGGGGACACGCTGGTGCCTTGGGGAGGTTTGGTGTCACAGCTCAGCCCGCCGTGCCAGCACGGCGCTCGGTGACACTGCTTCACAGCTCAGCCCGCCGTGCCAGCACGGCGCCGGCGCTCGGTGACACTGCTCTGGACAGCACCAGTGGTCCCCAGCACTGCTGCTCCTGCAAGGAACAAGATTAGGGAAGCTCTCGGGGCCTGTGAGCTGGTGATAGGAGGT